AAAGACAGAACCCAGAGGGTTGTGATTAGGGGCACAGAATCCAGCTGGAAGTCTGTAACAAGTGGTGTTCCCCAGGGGTCAGTACTGGGTCCAGTCCTCTTCAATATATTCATCAATGACCTGGATGAAGGGATGGAATGTATCCTCAGCAAGTTTGCTGATGACACAAAACCAGGAGGGGTGGCTGACACCCCAGAAGGCTGTGTGGCCATACAGCGAGACCTGGACAGGCTGGAGAATAGGGCCGAGATAAACCTAATGAAATTTAACAAGGGCAAGTGTAGGGTGCTGCACCTGGGGAGAAATAACCCCCTGCACCAGTACAGGTTGGGGACTGTCCTGCTGGAGAGCACCTCTGAGGAAAAAGATCTGGGAGTTCTTGTGGACACCAGGATGACCATGAGCCAGCAATGTGCCCTTGTGGCCAAGAAGGCAAATGGCATCCTGGGGTGCATCAAGAAGAGCGTGGCCAGCAGGTCAAGGGAGGTCATCCTGCCCCTCTACTCTGCCCTGGTGAGGCCCCATCTGGAGTACTGTGTCCAGTTCTGGGCCCCCCAGTTCAAGAAGGACAGGCAAATGCTGGAGAGGGTACAGAAAAGGGCCACAAAGATGATTAAGGGCCTGGAGCATCTCTCCTACGAGAGACTTGGGTCCTTTTAGTCTTGAGAAGAGAAGGCTTAGGGTAGATCTAATTAATGCATACAAATACTTAAAGGGAGGGTGTCAGGAGGATGAGACTGGTCTTTTCTCGGTGGTGCCCAGTGACAGGACAAGAGGAAATGGGCACAAACTTGAGTATAAGATGTTCCACCTAAACATGAGGAGGAACTTCTTTACTGTGAGAGTGGTAGAGCATTGGAACAGGCTGCCCAGAGGGGTGGTGGCATCTCCTTCTCTGGAGACATTCAAAACCTGCGTGGACAAGTTCCTGTGCAACGTGCTGTAGGTAGACCTGCTCCAGCGGGGGGATTGGACTAGATGATCTCCAAAGGTCCCTTCCAACTCCATATGATTCTATGATTCTATGACACAGATGTTTGTCTATCCAAAGCATAACTGAAGCAATCAGTGTATACTTATTTTGTGTACTCAAGTTTTTACTTCAAAGAAAGAAAATTATGTTCCTAGAACACAAAACTAATGTCTCCTGACTTTGGAAATGTGGTTTTCAGAAGTTCACCATCACTCTCATTTGGAAGTATCTACCAGTTATTTTAATATTCTTTGACCTCCTGAGATGTGTATATAAATACGTCAACCGTATGACAATGTATAGCTTACGTTGTCTTAAGTAATAGACTGTTAATGAGAAAAGCCATTATAGATAGACAAATGGATTCAGCAGAATTAAAAGCTCAGTTAAACAATTCAGGGAGTGTCACTACAGGGGGTTGAGAGCTAACCACAGTTGTGATGATAGCAGTTACAGGACCTGCAAGTTCTGTTGGTGGACAAAACAAGAGGTCTTGTCTTTTGGCAATGAAATCTTAACTATAATATCATCATCCATATAGTAGTGACAAAGCCACATAGCTCTGCATTCGTTATTTATACGTTAGGGTATGACAGCAGCCATACTCCCCACTGTTTGCAGTGACCACACACACTGATAAGTCCAAACCGAGGAGATCAAAAGTGGAGAAATAGAAGTTTGCAAGAAGAAAGGAAAATATAAAGAACTAAATTCTCAGAAGCGTTAAGTCAAGGGAATAAAATACAATTTTGAAAAAAAGAGCCAAATTTCATTTTTGTGTAATAGCATAAGAATTTTTAGGCCTAGTACTTGCAGCCTCCACGAATGAGGGGCAGTGATTCCCCTCCCTTTCCTGCAAGGACAGAAGGTACCTTAAGCCCAGAAACATCAAAAACCTGTATCCAATAATATGATGAAAGGTCCTGTGTTCCATTAGGGAATGAAAAGCAGGACTTGTACTGGCAGCAGGAGAGGCTGAAGTGGAGCAAATATGGACTCACCAGCATATATATTCTTTCTTCTAAGTCCAACAGCAGTAGGAGCAGACTTGACTTGTGTTGGGAGCTGTAAAGTTGATCCCTCCATGTTTTTAGCTTCTATTGAGCATGCTCTTCTGCTGCCCCACGTGAGGAGCTGGAAAATGCTACTGGTTGCGGAGAGGAGGTGGGTTTACTGCAGGGGAGGAGCATGATGGTATAAAAGTCATGGAATAAACAAGGTGGAATAACTAGCATTAACTATAAGCCACAGGGAGGTGGAATGTGAAGGAGATGTGAATTCCCCCTTGCAGAAAATAAAGGAATTGCATGCTTCTAAAGTACAGAGTGCCCTAGCCTGAGCTTTTCACATGGCATGAGAACAGAGGCATAGTTCATATTTGTTAAGTATTAGGTGGGTTTAATACATTACTTGTTCACCAGAGCACCCAGAAAGTACATTTCTTTCATCATGGACTATGGTACATTGCTACTATGATCCTCATGGTTCAGAAAACACAATGCCTTAAAATGATAGCTTTAATTTAATAACGTCTTTCCTATTCTATAGAAGTCTAACAGTTTGCAAACTGTAATTTTAAATAGTGATTATATTAAAATTATGCTACAATTAAAACTACAATTTTAATTATTGCTAGTAGTTCGTGGAGTTACGTTAGATGGTCTTTCACAGTGCAAATGGTCTGATGTGAATGCTACCAATATCGCTACAACACTGATTCTTTAAGAAGATATCTGCAGGGATCGGAAAGTAAATAGTAGTAAAATAGATACTACAAAAACATGACTCAGCAAAACCATATGGAATTATATCCTTTAATAGTAAAAATACCTGTTAACAAGATATTTTTTCTGTTGCAAATGTCTTCTAAAACCAAACTACAACACATACATTATTCATAACATGTATTATTCACAATTGCATTGTATGGGTTTCTCCCTGTAGCATGATTTTGTTGAGAAGATGTCTTATCACAACCCATGAGTTAAGGTCCTGTGTTGCTACAAAGGATTCTTAGATTTTTTGGGGGTTCTATTAAATCTTCAGGCATCAAGCTCTATTCATACTTCACAGCACCAGGAAAAAAAAACAAAAGTAATTGTAGATGGAGACAGTTTTTAGAAAGATCGGTAAAGTCTGTTGAGACTCTCATGTTGTTGCGAGGGCGTCAGAAGTAGTAGGTGGACTGAGAGGCCTAAGGAGCTGAGCCAGGGAGTGTTCCCAAGCTCCTGGCTCCTGGTGCATGCTCCAGCAACGTGCAACGTTGCCAGGGGCTGGACCAGGTGCTGGAGTCGACCATCTCTGGGGTTAAAATAGCCCATTATAGGGTTAGGTAGTCATTCTTCCAAGCAGTTCCCAGCATGGTCAGGGACCACTTCCAATAGCTGATTTGAGCGTTTACACCCCATTGTGGAGGGTAAGAAATTTTGATAATATGACACTGTCAGATTCAAGTGGTGGCTCTTGCCACAGAATGTACCTGCTGCTTGGGTACACTTTAATGTGTCTGGGGACAATCAGAAAAATCTAAAAACCATAGGCTTGATTATATATGGGGAGTCATAGGCAGAAAAGGGGGGCTAGAAATGTATATCTGGTGCTGAAGTTCATTTGTAGCAAGTAACTCACCTGAAGTCTGTTATTCTGCAAAATATTGCAGAAACTTCAGATATAAACATTCTCATGTCCAAAGGTCTGAAGTCTGAAGTTTCTGTGTGAAAGTGGTTCATGCACAGAACGTGAACAGATTAATGTAAGAAGTGATAATGTCTTTAACTTCTTTATGTTATCTTTGTTTCTCTTGTTGGGAGCCAGAGCAAAAAGACCTTTCACTCATATCCTCTGTGCCTTATCTCTTCGGAAAGGACTTTGAGGCTGAAAGAAGGTGAACAGCAGAAAGCCCTGACATTGCATAATGCTCACAAACCCTGACTATAAATGGGTTTTCTTACTGATTCTGCACTGTATATCGTCTCCGCAGTTTTCTTATGCCATTAGCATAAGGCAGTGGAGGTAGGTTACAACTGGTCTTGTAAAATACTTTCTCTCTCAAAAATACTGTCGGCGTGTTCAGAGATCCCTGCTCCATTCCGTTTCCAATTTAGGCAGGGGGAACCATCCCCAGAGTGTAATGATTTGTTGTGGGCAAATGAGCTGACAGCTGTCAGGGTTTCCAAAATACCAACTAAGAGAAAGCAGTAAAAATGGTAGTAGGAATCATCTTTTTCTAAGATGTTAGGGCCTTGCATTTTTTATTTAGTTTCAGAGACTATGGCAGAGCAACCCCAAAAGTGAGTGGTGACTGTGGTGAGGTCTCTGCCCAGAGGTGCCAGCTGCTGCCCGAGAGCCATGGAGCCTACCATGCTCCAGAGGGCACGGGCCAGCAACAGTCCAGAGCTTGAGAAACGTGCTGTGATGAGGTGCTCCCAGGTGGGACACGTGCTCAAGTGCAAGGTTTGACAGCTACGCAAGAAGCCATTTACTTTGTCATAGTAGATTTGCTTTGCTCTCATAATAGCAAATCCATAGCCATAAAGCACCGATTTTCACCATAAAATGACAGCAGGTTGGCTTTACTCTTGGGAAATTTAAACTAGGTGTAAGGATGGGAGAGATGTCCTGAGGTCCCTTCCAGCCTGAATTAATCGATGATTATGTAATTCTGAATTCCCCATTAAGGATAATCTAGATTTTTTTTCCCCCCATCCTGAATGTTAACTGCGCTCTATTTAATGCTTCAGAAACACTATCTCATTTATCCTAACAATTTTCCCTTTGAAGTTGGTAAATATCATCCACGTCATGAACTTTTATTTGCACACCGCAAAGCCATGTTTAGTGGACAACAGGTCTCATTTCTGTCTATGTTTCCTTATCCCGTGGAGTGAAGGTCGGCAGCCTGAGGAGTCCACCATCCTTCCCGGCAATTTTGTGCTCCTCTTCCAGACCATGAGGAAAGCTCAGAGGGAAACAACATTGGTTTTTACGTCCATCAAGGACACAACTTTTATTCCTTAGCACACAGGCCCCGGTCTTGGAGATATGCGTAGCCTATCTCAGGAAATTAAATGTACGTTTGACTGTTTGCAGGATCAATTCAAAGTCCTAGAACAAGCAGAAAGTCAAACTTAGTCTGTAATTAGCTCTTAGCTCAGTGATCAACACTAATCCACTTTAAAAACCTGTCCAGAAGAGCTCAGAACAGTCGTTTCCCACCTAAAAGACACTCGTAGACATTTTTGGATTTGCGTGGGTTCCCCCCTGCGGTTACACATTTTGGAGGGAAGAATTTTCTTGCAGTTCATTTTGTGGAACGCGAGATGAGGGTCGCCTTTCTTTTTTTTAACCCCAGAATTGAGCACGCCCAAGCCGATCCAGAGACGGCGGAGGGGCCGAGTCATGCGAGCACCACAGGACACTTGGGCCCGCTCGCCCGCCCCGCTCCTGCGCCGCCATTCGCGGCGGGATCGTCCCCTCACAGGCGGCCGCGCCCGCGGCGGGATCGTCCCCTCACAGGCGGCCGCGCCCACGGCGGGGCAAAGGCTTCGGCAGCTGCTCTGCGCATGCGTGGGGCCTGAGCGCCGCTTCAGGGGACCGCGTCCTCCCGCCCCGCCCTTAGCAACGCGGCCCGGCCCGGCCCGGCCGCCTCCGCCGCGCCGCCGGGGCAGGGATGCGGGCCGTTTGCGCCGTGTCGGACCTTGGTACCGCTGCGTTGGCTCCTTGAGCCTCTCGGCGACCTGCCGCCATCTGGGGCGTTCGCCGCCGCCCCCCGGCCTGGGGCGCTGACTGAGGAAACCCGCAAAAAGGAGCCTGGTTCGGCTTCGGGCCGCGGCGGCCCCGCGTACGGCTCGGAGGAGGCCCCGGCCGAGGGGGAAGCGACGGGGGGTATCCCCTTCTCCGGCTGGAGCGGGACCGGCCTTCGGAGCGGTGTGCGGCGCTGCGTCCCGGGCAAGGCTGCTTGCTGAAGGGCATGTATTTGATGTTACGGCTGTTATCAAATGTCCTCTTCAAGATTTTTGTGAAAACAGGTGGCCAGGCAAAGAGACACCCGTAGTGTCCTCACCGAGGGAAAGACCGCAAGGTATTACCACGCTAAAGTGCTCGTGAAGAAAAACATTGGAACTCAGGCTTCTTCCAGGTTTTAAAAACCACTTGAATTGAAATGGCAAGACTGTATGAAGAGTGCTGCCCATCGAGAATAGCTGTGGCTGTGTTGATACAAGGACGCAAGCGAAGGGAAGGAAGATTTGAAGAGTTACCTTTAATTAGACTCACTACGATGGTTTGGCCTAATTAAAAAAAAAAAAAGTCACGCTTTAGACTATGAGAGAATTATCTTAAATCTGAATTATCTGAGAATGTAGAGATACCATTCTAAAAGTAATGCAATTACTTCTTGTGAGCATTTAGTTTTAATGATAAATGTCTTTCAAACAATTTTCTGACAGTGGTATGAATACCTAACAAAATCTAATTCTATGAAATGGTGCCATTTCGTACTGTTTATAGGTGTACCCTAATTTTTATGACTAATCACAGCTTGTTTTTAATTTCAAAGGCAGCAATTAAAAACTAAAATCTGAGCTCTTTTGAACTTTGCTCTTTGAATAAACCTTATTGTTATTTATATGTTACAATTCTAAAGACATGTAAAACCACTGAGGTGATATTTGGCATGTTAAATGTTTCACAGAAAAATGATGCAAAACGTGCATCTGGCTCCTGAGGCTGATGAAGATGATCTTTATTCTGGCTACAATGATTATAATCCTACCTTTGACACAGAGGTAAAAATATTTGCTGTTTCCAGCCTTTCCCATATGTAGGATTTTAGCTTCGAAGTATAAGATACTGACATGGGTACAGTAATGTGCAAGTGTACTACTGTTTTGAAGAGAATCTTTCTTTATTTAGCAAGAAATATTTGAAGTTTCACCAGGATCTTTTTGAATAGTTATTTTTTTTTAAATAGTTTTCTATTCCAACAAAATACCTGTGTGCATCTCATAGCAGATCTAATACGCTTTAATGGTTAGAATTTGTGAAGTGTAAAATCCTAGTTGTTTGAAGGGTATTTACATTCAGGTACATTCAATGTGGTGCAGTGTGCAGCAGCAAGTTTTCTGACAAAAGAGGCTATTTATTGGTCAATAGGTCACTGATCTCTTGCTGCTCTGCCTCGGAAGGAGGTAACAGTAGAGAGGAGTCCTGCAGTTCTCTGTGTAATCAGTAGAGCGTCTGGGATGACTAACAGTAACCCTGCAGACCACTTTTGGTAACTGCTGATGTAGTGAAATTGGAACAACAGGGAAATTATTTGGTCCAAACCCACTACTTTGCTCAAAGCAGGGTTGGTGTTGCAAGACTTGATATCTTGTGTGAAATCCCAATGCCAAATTTGTGGGAGCTGCAGCGTGACCTCACAAACATGAGATATCTTAAGTGTATTGGCATGAGAGGCATTAATGTTAAAATTTAGAAATAGTGCTAGTAGTAAGCTTTTGGACAGAAATAAAATTTCATGTCATATTTTATCTCTAAAGCTCTGCTTCCTCGCTGTGCTTTTATTTTTCAGGTAGTAATGATTTTTTACTTTTCCTAATCTAAAATACCAAAAAGATAGACCAAATAATATAATCATTATATATTGGCAATAAAACTTGTCACTCAGTTATCTTCAAGTCTTCATTTTGGAAGAAGAATTGTTTTTTTTACTTATCTGTTTTCAGTAGTCCTAAGGTTCTAACTTTGGATGTTGTGGTTTTAAAAGGGTTGATATTTTTATTTTATCTTTTCTAGGATTTAGAAAATGATGTAGCTTTTCAACAGGCAGCAAGAACAAGTCATGGTAGAAGACCCCCTGTAAGTACCTTTCAAAATGCATTGCAATAGCATAGACCTTCTCTAGAGCCCTAGCTCTAATTTTGGCACTGATACAAACTTATCATGGGACTCTCTTATCTTTTTTTGTCTGCTACTAACATGAAGATACAGACATTAATTATTTACATGAAAAATAAGAAAACAAAGTTCACTATAGAAACTATATAGAAAGACTAATAATTAATGCATATGGTTGTTAATTGGTGGGGATTTTTGGTTTGGTATTTTTTCTACCTAGGTGACAGCCAAAATTCCTGGTACATCAGGTTCAAGACCTTTAGCTACTGGATTTGGGGTAGGTTTTTGTTTTGTTGTATTCTCATTAAAAAATAGGTTTTTACTGAAAAATAAATTCACCATTTAATCCCTTACACAAAGTGAGCTTTTTTTATCTAAGTATTTCCTTCCAGTGAACTACATATATTCATTAATTTTAATTAACTCACAACTCCACACTTAGCCAAGGCATGGTTATTGATTTCTTTTTCTTTTTTTTTTGCCTTTTCTCCCAAACCATACTGCAAATGAACTTCTGTACTGCATAAGGCAGTAGATTCCAAGGAATTAACCTGATTTTCTTGCTGGAGGAACTGGATGGATTGTTATTTGGGTTGGGAAAGTTTTCTGAAAGTTAAGGTTAAATTAAGTCTTAAAAAATATGGGCTTTCAAATAACTTCTAGTTTAATCAGAAAAAGCTAGTTATATTCTTTGGTATACTTAACTTATTGTAACTCTTAAATTACAACCACTTTAACCTGGTTTGCAAAGGAAACAGAAGTTCCACATTAGTGATATACCCACTGTCCCCTTATCCCAATAAATTTTCAACCTGTTGGCCTGTCTCAGTCAAATTTGAAAAGTCAGGGCTCCAAAATATTGTCCAGTCCACAGTGCTACCTGTTTTACTCTGCAGATTTGCTTTTCCTGTACTACAGTCCTTGTTAATGTAGATTCAGCCTTACCAGAAAAAACAAAAAACAATCATATGTGTGATAGGTAGTGGGTAAAATAGTAAAACCTTGGCCTCTGAGTGGGAATCAGGGGAACGCTTTTTCGTAGCCTGAAACCCTTTATTTTTGTCTGTTTGTATTTTATATTAGTAGCAATGTTTAGCATTTACTTCTAAATATTTGATACTTATTTCTTTACTTTTTTTAACACTACTACAGAAGGACAGTATGCAGCATATCAACTAATGGAAAAGATATCCATAGGGCAGTTTCACAGTATATCTGTATTTATTGTAAAATAAATCTTCATGAAAGTATGACTTAAAATCTGCCTCTGTATTAATCTCTTATCAGCTGTACTCAGAATCTTACTGAAATATTTTGTGTAAATTACTTGTTTAGTTTAAAGGTAGTAATTTCAATCATTTAGTAATGGAAAATGCTGCTAACAGATAAATGTCTGTGTAATTTTTAAAAAAGTCTGTCATATATCAAAATGCATAAAAAACCCCCAATACTATGAATTTGTGCTAACTGAAGTGTTTGCTAGCACCTGGCAGGCTTAAGGTGTCAGTATATCATATATGAACAACATAAATTGGAATTTTGCTATGAATTTATGTGAGAGTTAGATCAACTCTTAAAACTTAGAGTTGAGAAGACTATGCAGCCTTTACAGGTTTCTAATGCTTTGTCAATGCTAGTTTCAAACAATTTACTTATTTTTGTAGTCAAAGGCAACTTTAACATCATCTATGGGAAGACCAATGACAGGAGCTATACAGGTAAAAGTTTTATATTGATTTGGAACAATGGAGTTTTCTGATAAGTGTTTCTGTTTGATACAAGTATTTAAAAGTTCATTGAAATAATACATTTTTTTTACACTGTTTTAGTTTGTCCTTTTTTGACAATACTACTGGCAGAAAGCATGATGGTTATGATGAGTATTTTATTTGAGCGCAGGGTTGGAAGCAATACCAGTGCAGTGCTTTTTAACACTTATTGACATGCAATCAATAATATTTCTTTGAAACGGGAGAGAGGCAGATTCCAGCTGTCATGATTTTCTTATGTACTTATATTCTAATAAGAATCCGCTGGTATTTACCAATGATTTTCCCACCACCACCCTTAAGTATATTGACTTAAAGGGATATAGTGGCTATAGATATATTTAACATTATGTCAGCCCAGGCGGGAAACAGGGAACATCAAGACTGAGGCTACTTCCTAAGGGAAGGTAAGCCAGGAGCCTAGGGGGAAATTGCAGAGCCACTAGTGCAGGGGCCTCACCAGCCGGGACCCAGTCCCCCAGTACCTGAACAAGGCAGGAAGAATCCCCCTCAAACTGGTGGCCACGTCCAGCCAAAAGTCCAGAATGTAAGGCAATATCATGGTGGTGAGGCAGGTCCAAGTTCAAGCTACAAAGTCAATGCTAAGGCTAGGGCTGGGACCAGCGACCACTGGCCAGGTCCATAGTGACAAGGCAAGGCTAAGATCAAACCAGGAGGTCTGTCCACAGGTCAAAATCTGGATCAAGGGACTCTATGGCCCAGCATAGCTGTGATCAATACAGAAGCCTGTGGCCCTCTGACAAAGCTCAGGCAGGCACTGATGGGCCAGGGTTGAGCTTAAATAATGCTCACACACCCATGGGTAGGTGTGTGGCTGGAGGCCACAGGTGAGTCTGGTCATGGCCATTAAGGTTTATTGGTGCACTCATTGTCCTGACAGGAAGGTTTAATAAGCTGGCATAGGATCGGGGTCAGACATTCTTGTGTTAGGAGGTATTATCTGGTAATAAGTTACAAATACAAAAAAATTGTAGTTTGTTTGTGCCTCTCTTGGTTTAGATAAAGTAAAACATTCTGATCCATAATCTCAAAGGATTCTTTTTATTGTCAATAAAAATTTAAAAAGCAACCGAGTTCTGAAACATTGCAACAGTAAGCTGGAGTACATTACAGATCTCAAGACCAAAAATTCTTAAGAATTTCCTAAAAAGATGTTTTGAAATTTAAGTATTCTGAATACATACAACATTTACACAAAGTAGTAAGTGTTCCTTTGTGTCAGTTACAGTTTCCCAATAGTGTTTGCTTCTCTACTTGGTAGACAATTATCCTAGAATAACAGGCTGGAAAGGACCTCTGGCCCGACCTTTCTTGGCAAAAGTATGGTATAGATGAGATGGCCAAACACCCTGTTCAACCAAATCTTCAAAGTATCAAATGCTGGGTAATCCACCACTTCCCTTGGGGAAGCTGCTCTAATGGCCAGTTGTTTTCATTGTCAAAAATTTTCCTCCTGTGTCCAATTGGAATCTCCCCAGGAGTAACTTGTATCCATTACCCCTTGTTTTTTTCCATGTGACTCCTTGTAAAGCCTCCATCTTCTTAGCCACTGTTTAAATACTGGAACATGGTGATAAGGTCTTCCTTAAGCCTTCTTTTCTCATGGCTGAACAAACCCATGTTATATCAGGTATTTTTATCAGGCGTTGGAATGGGCTGCCCGGGGAAGTGGTTGAGGCACCATCCCTGGAGATATTCAAAAGATGAATTGACATGGTGCTCGGGAATATGGTTTAGTGTTGGCGTGTGTGTTTTGTTTAGTGTGGTTTTTTTGTAATATGTTTTGGTTTTGTTTTTTTCTTAAATGGTTGGACTAGATGATCTTAAAGGTCCCTTCCAACCTAGGCTATTCTGTGATTCTATATGGTGTATAATATTTGAGAAATAAAACCGCTTTAAAAAATATTCAGTTTACTGAGGTGGTAACAACTGGTTTTTATATTTAAGGGTTTTGTAATATATAACTGATGTCCATACTGTCCACAACCTATTTTTAGGAAGATTATTTTAATATGTCTTCCTTTGTATTTAAGGATGGGGTTGCTCGACCAATGACAGCAGTGCATGCTGCAGGTTACACTAAGGCCGCTATGAGAGGTATGGTTTGTAGAAGTCACCAGCTGCCAGAGGGAGATGTTATTTCACACTTCTCAGTACTCTGTTAATTTTGCAGGTTCCGCATTTGATCCTCTTGGCCAAGCAAGAGGTCCTGCTCCACCTCTGGAAATGAAAAACTCAGACAGGTTTGTCAGTTTTGCGTTAAATTATTTCAAAGCCATGAGAAACAAAACATGTAGAGTTTAAAAACATCCAGGCAGTTACAAAACCTTGAGGGGCCAAACTCCTAGCTTTGTGGAATAATGCCACAGGCATTTACGTGAGCTGACTCGCCAGAGCAGTTGCACTGACTTTGAGGAATGTGCAATATCTGTGATTTCTGGTTCTGACTGTAGCTCAGCAGCCTGGACATAGTTGTTGTCACACAAATGCTGTGATACTTATATAGAATTGTGGATTTTGGAAGAGTGTGTGGCAGGCAAAGAACACCATGATTCATGCAGCTCTCTGGGAAGACCTTGGGGGAATTTTGTCTGCCCTGTTCAGTCTGACCTTAGTACTTGAGGTAAAACTGAGGCTGTGAAAGTTTTGCAGGCTGGTGCAAACGTCTGAGAGTTCACTGAGAACAAGTCATTGAACTTTTCAATACAAAACTATTCCTCAAGTATAGCTTTAAAGGAACAGGGAATTGTACTGAAATGTTGGTTATTTAACTGAGGAAAAAATCAAGATGAATAATTTTTTTATTAAAATCTGCATTTGCAAGCTATACTTTAAAGGTATCTATGCAAACAAAGGTTCGATTAATCACTCCTAATACAATATTTCGTTTTACTAGGTGTTTGATTTGAAAGTTTTACCAGCCCATCTGTTCTGTCATTACTTCTGAACAAATTGGGTCCATGAAATTTGCATGTCTGTCTTGTTCTCAGAAAAGGATTTATGTTTTCTTAGGTCTCTGTTCTCACATTAAAAGCATTGAATGTTGATATCTTTGGAGGATCTTATTTGGGCATATTTTCACATTATATTTTCTTTGATGGGAAAACCAGTTAGTTGTGACGTGGTACAACACTGTTTTGTTGAGAATATCCTATGTAAAAGCTTGGTGATTGCAGTTATGTTTCTAATATTAATCCTTTTAATTTTATTTTAGTTCAGAAGAGAAGATTAGGCAGTTGGAAAAAAAAGTGAATGAACTGGTTGAAGAGAGCTGCATTGCCAACAGCTGTGGAGACTTGAAATTGGTAATTTTTCTGTTTTTCTCGTCACTTTTGTTATTATGTGAAGAAGAATTTTTATAGATAGATGGTTCAAACATTTCAAGCTATTAAAATTATGTTAATTCTAACTTTGCTATGGCTCTTCTAATACAGTGATACTATGTATTTCCAAAAAAAAAAAAGGTAGGAGCTGTATTTCTTGTGTATATATTTGTTAAGATTTCAGTGTTACAAAAAATCCCTTCCCCATACCTCCACTGGCCTCTTCAAATGGGTCTGACCAATTAGTCATACTGGCACAGATTTGTCCAGTTTAACCTATGGACTGCATGGGAGCGGGTGACCCTTCTTCAATACCAGGCTTGTAATTGGCATCTCTGCAGCATTCGATCCCCGGTCATGTAAGGATCTTTTCTGAGTGACATTCCATTTCCCTGATGTTCCTTGGGCTTTTTTGATAATGTAATTTTCATCTGGGACTAGTTCTCATCACCAAGGTCAATCTCACTGAAGCCACCTCCACAGTACCCTTCCATGGCAGTTTGGTGCTGTAGCATACAGTAGACACTATGTTGCTTTTGTTGCACCATAAGGGATTGGCATCAAGATGAACTTTTTAATCTTCTTTCAGTCCTTCAGCCAAGGGGACCTTCCAAGCTAAGCAAACCCTAAAGTGCAAATACCAGTATCCTTTATAGGACAGTGGCAATAAAGCACATTAGCCTTGGGTTCAAGTGTGTCAAAATAGCCTCTAACTCTTCCTTCTTAGGACCAGGCAACTATGGGAGGCAGAGTGGGCTCAACTGTTAGAATTAATGAGATACATTGGGTTCTTAGGGATGTAGACTTACTTTGTGCTCATCCATTGCCCTCTCAAGTTGATGGTGTCTGAGCCATAAGGGGAAAAAATTACCTGGAGCTATGAGAGATGGTGTTTCTTGCTCAGTTATTTGAGCTGTGACATTTTAGTCTGGGAGTGTATTCTGAGGAGGTATTGTTAGAGTACGAGAATCAGTAAGCATCTTTCCTGATCTGCTTAACACTGTCCAATACAGATCTTAGGATAGATGGCCTTTGCTTTGATCAAATTGTCATGTTTCGGAACCTAAGAATTCCAAAATTCATTGCAAAGATTGCAAATGAGCCTTGCTACAAATTGGGAAAATGGCACTGTTTGTCCATTGTACACAATATATTTATGAATCAATCAATAGGGTTGTAAATTGTTAGCATGGTTACTGGCACAGTTTTGCCCCAGGCTAACACACATTTTTCTAAACAGTTCCTAGATCCCTGTAATAAAACAGGTTTTTTTTCTGCTGCTGATAGCTTCTGATGAGAGAGTGTGAAAGAAGCCTATCCATTTATCATGTTCATTTAGGAGAAGTATCCTTACAGATCTATCCTAGTTTATTTCTGATATAATGTCTGGATTTCACCCCCACTAAGAGATGAGCCAACCTGTTGTGTTAATTTTTCTTGAGCCTCTTGCATGTACGGCCAAGAATGTTCTTTGTTTCTTGATGTCAAAGGGTTGTTTCTTACATAGGTTATGCCAGATGATTCAGAGGGTCCTCTAGAACGTTTGTGTTAGTTTCTGACAAACCCAGCAGAATGTGTTTTCCTGCAGAAGTCATCAAAGTTGCCAGCTCATTATCTATAAAACAGCAAAGTTGAATTTGCCTTCTGTCGTAAGGACTAAGAATCAAGCTGTGCTTGAGAAGTACTTCCTTCACCGCTAGCTGCCAAATAGCTACCTTGAGTACTAACCATTACTTTTTTAACCATTGTGCCCTTGCAGAGGCATACGGGGCTGCTAAGGGCACTTGTAGACCTTCATGCGTTACTTGCATGAAGGGTCTTGACACTAATATGCAGAAGATTATAATTGGATAAAATAGTAATTTTGGAGTTAGTCAAGTTGTGAATGTACATGTGAAATACCACTTGTGGATAGATAAAAAAGGGAGACAATTTACCAGCATCCAGAATTCGTCATGGTGTATGTACAGCATACAGTTGTAGAACATGCATGTTTACTTCCTACCTTCGCTTTCCTTGTTCCAACACCACTTTGCACTGGGATTCTGCAACTAAGGAAACACGTCAAGCCTTAATGCTCCTTTTTTTTTAAAAAAAACCAATCAACAAACATTTATGTACACTTTCTACAATTAATACAAGTAGAATAATCTTCTAGGGTCATAAGTGTCATATGTGTGTGTGTGACTACTCTAAAATTATACTGATAAGCAGACTTAGACAATGGTATGTCTGCTTACTGCTAATTAACACCTTTCTGTGGGTTGTATTGCTATTTTTCAAGCATTGGGTACAGTGTGTGCTTTTAAAGAAAATGGTCATGAATTCTTTTCCTACTTGTTTTGAATGTATTGTTGCCATCTTGGGTTAGTAAGATTCGAGGTGTTGTTAAATTCTAGTATTTTATTTAAGGCTCTAGAAAAAGCAAAAGAGGCTGGAAGAAAGGAAAGAGTATTGGTGAGACAACGTGAACAAATCGCTACTCCAGAAAACATCAACTTAGACCTGACTTACTCAGTAAGTGCTTAGAAAACTTCAAGGAGTGAAAGGTGTTGGTAGCAAACCTCCTATAGAGATGTTTCAGTGTTTGCTGAGTGTGCATGTATTGTAATGCTCCTGGCATTCTACCAGATCACATATGGTCTATGTCTGGGGGCAGGGGAAGTTTTTGAAGATAAAGTTAATGACTTCTTGAAATTAAAAACTTAGCACTGGATTACAAGGATCCATTCATATCATCAAGTCTATTCCCTTGCAATCTCAAGTACCAGAGAAACCACGTAGTCAACATTAAGAAGAGTGCCCATGAGCATCCATTCCAACTACCTACTGACATAGAAAACATGCATATCAAAATATAAAAGATGTAAACTCTGTACATTAATTAATTAATAGTCTAGAAAACGTAACATGCCAAGAGAAGAAGACAGGAGAGATCAGACACTGCCTTTAACTTGAACAATAAAGTTACAGATAATATATTACATGAAATAGGATATATTAATATTCCTAAATCCTGAGTATCTAGATTTACATTTTGGTTTCCAAATTAATAGTAGACTTTTATTTATGTTGTATTCTCTTTTTTAAAAGTTCTTAGGGGGAATTTAAAGTTGTACTCCAGGTAGCGCTGTAGAGGAAATTATTAACAATGAACGCATTAGTAATTAATTTTGTAGTGAAGGTCAGAGTAAAGCTGGGGAAAAAATGTGGAAATATTTTGCCTGACACCAACTGAATTCGTGTTTTGAAACAGCAGTTTTGAAAAATTCTCTCTCTGTAAACTGAGTGACCACAGGTAGTAGGACGATTTTCCACATTGGGAGTCATGTTACACACAGTTTCTAAGATTTATCTTGTATGAATTTTTTTTTAATACCTTTGCATTATAACACTGTGTTTACTTAGGTCTAAGGCCCACTTAGCATGACTTTTAATACTAGTTATTTAAGTATAAAAATAAAATAATTACCTAGAATAAGTAGATTTGAAGGCTTGTTTCTCTGTGTCAATGTACAAGAACACAGGAACATTAAAGATGGGAATCTTAAAACTGGTAAAAGCAATGCTTCCAAGGTAAATTAATTTGAAATTATCTGTTATGAATTAAAGTTTATTATTGGCAAGGGAACAACTTTATTTTCTTGTACCTATAATTCCATTTTTCTGTAGGTTCTTTTCAATCTGGCCAGTCAGTATGCTGCTAATGAAATGTATGCTGAAGCACTGAATACTTACCAAGTTATAGTGAAGAATAAGATGTTCACCAATGGAGGTAGGGTACATTCCAAAGTGGATTAAAACAGGTAGTCAGGCATTCAAAATAAGGACTTCATCTGTGTGGTGTTGAGTCATAAAGATCTCAGCCCTCATGTCTGCCAGCCGGAGTGGGTGACATACTCATCATCTCTGACTTGGTATAACTTAATGTGGTTTGGCTTGCCAATTCATGAAGTCTTTTCTGGCTAAGCTAAACATAAAGCCAAAGTTATCATTTTCTCTTGCAGCACACATGATGTTGTCTGCTTTAATGCTATTTTATTCTCTTTTGACTCAGCTTTCCCCTTCTGAAAGCTTCTTTTAGTATGTTGCACATCTTTGAGACTCCTACAATGTGCTTGTCTCAGAGCTACTTATTTGCAGCTGTCTTCCTTGAGAGGACTATAATCTCTACCTTATCCCTCAATTTACAATCAAAATCAGAATACTTTTTACACTGATAGCCCTTTTCTAGGTTTTATTACTACTTCATCTCCTTGTGAGTGAAAATTCACAATAGGCTGTTCTGTGCAGTGGGGCCACTGGTACCCTATAATGAAGACAAATTTATTAAGAAGTTGTTCTACTCTGTCACTTTGAAACAATTTAAAAATGCTGTAACTGTGCTTTAAAAGTCTGTAACTCATTGATTTCTTTTGATAGGTAGACTGAAGGTGAATATGGGAAATATATATTTAAAACAACGGAACTATTCCAAAGCTATCAAATTCTACCGTATGGCTCTAGACCAGATTCCTAGTGTCCACAAAGAGATGAGGTGAGTTTCCGTTTGTAGGCATGGTTCTGAAATATAAGTTTTGGATAGAGTATGATTTGATAGTTAACAATATAACCTAATGCTGATTTTTTCCCTTAGGATTAAAATAATGCAAAATATCGGAGTTGCATTTATTAAAACTGGCCAATACGTTGATGCCATTTCTTCATTTGAGCACATAATGAGCACGTCCCCAAACCTGAAGGCAGGATTCAACTTGATTGTTTGTTATTTTGCTATTGGAAACAGTGAGCAAATGAAAAGAGCCTTCCAAAAACTGATTGCAGTTCCCTTGGAAGTGGATTATGATGACAAATACATTTCGCCAAATGTAAGTTTGAAAAATACAAACTATGAATAAAAAAAGTTGCGTCTTTGTATGGTAAATCAGGAGAAAGGGGAAAAGACATTGAATGCGTAGGCTGTACTGAATATGTAAATTGTTGGGTATTTATGTACCTAACATAACTTCATTTGAACCAGCACGAACTTAGTGTGGCAGTACTGTTCAGAAGTGTAAAATAATGCTGAGAACATTCAAATCTTTTTTCCTCAAAAGATATGATGTACATAAAATCCACAGCACATGATTGTCTTCATAACAATTTTGTTGAAATTCATCTCGGCTAACTTACATAGTTCACTTAATACTTTGCCTCCTTCATATAAAATATTAATAAGCTAAAATAAAGAGAGTGAAACTGAGTAAGTTAATGCTGGTTATTTGAAATGAGTGCTAATAAAACTTGTAATACTCTAACGTTATTTTGCAAAAGAAAATTTTACTAAGTTTACATATACTTATTTTAGTTTATTAGACTTTGTTGGAAACTGGACTTCCTTTGTACCATGAATGCCAGCAGCTCACAATATTAAAGCTAGGAAAAAGTAATTAACAGATTTAGGGTCCCTCTTAGAAAGGTCCTCTGTAGAAAGATCAAGGCAAGACCTTTATATTCTCTTAGCAATCTTTTTTCCAGTGATGCTAAACTTCATTTTCAGTCCTAAAAATCAAAGATAGAAATAATCTTCAAACTATTAGCAGCTTAAAAGTAGTTTTTGCTTCTTATTGTCCTAGCATAAGCAAATATAATATATGAAGCATATATATTTGTTTGTATTTATTGATAAATATGTGTATAATTTCATATGTATCATATATAGCTGATACATATATGATTTCTCATATTAGAAATTATGTAACAGGTTACGAAACACTTGAATTAACTTAAGACTATGTAAGATCATTCATTGGAAGAAAAAGCTTTGGGCTGTAGAAGTTCTTTCTAAGGATAGGCAAGCTATAGTTTTGACAGACATTCCAAGTTATGTATTTTGTTATGAAGAGGTCAGAGAAAAGATCACAGAGTTTCATTCTCATCTTTATTTTGTGTAAGTCTATGATCTGTCCCCAGTAAATGCGGAAGGGGTGGCTACCCAGCAACCTGCATTAGGTATTTTAGAACTACCAGAGATGTGTGATAGAAACCACAAGATGATCGTGTGAGTTACTGCAGTGAGAAGATGGTACAAGTCCTCACCTGCTGAGTACCACTGTGGTTCAGCAAATGCTTAAGCATGCTCTCATTTTTAAGCATATGAGTGTTCTCACTGTGATTTGCAGCCTTCCCAGTTTGAGACACATGACATTAACCACAACTATTAGCAACCCTAATGTGAGCTATTACCACATACATGAGCAAAAACCAGGATTACAGTAGTTGTAATGCCCAGTTTCAGATTTTGTGGCTAGAAAGATACTTTAAACTGAAGGTAGTTCTTTGAGATGTGAAAAGTAAGTGACTGACATTATATATTATGTAATTCACATGAGTTGATGTTGACAGTCATATTGTCTGTAAAGTAATTAAAATGTTTGTATACTGGCATAATTTCCAGTTGTTTTGTCCCCCTCCAGGATGATCCACATACAAATCTACTGATTGAAGCCATTAAAAATGACAGCTTAAGACAAATAGAACGTGAGAGGTAATGGTGGAGACTATTCTTTCTTGACTGTGGTGCTGTGGATTTTTTCCTGAAAGTATTATCAGTCTTATCACTTGTCTGCTGTTCTTGTTATAAAAGTGTCCTCATAATTCTTAGGAAAGAACATGCTTGGAAGAACCAGCTGGATCACTCAGTTTACTGAGTGTACTGCACTGAAGTAGAATATCTACCCCAAATGCTGGTTAGATTGACTTCTAAGGTTGTCTGGAATGCAGGAAGCAGCAAGAACTAGATTTGGTTTGGTTTTTTTTTTTTTCCCCTATGCATTTTTTAAATGGTGACATGTTTGTGTATTGGCTTTTGTCTTTTTTCTTCTCTTAGGAAATCCATGGCCGAGGAATACATCATGACAGCAGCTAAACTCATTGCACCAGTAATTGAGACGTCTTTTGCAGTGGGCTATGACTGGTAAGAGCCAAGCAGGTCTTCTTTTTGTCTAAACTATATGCCAATATCTCGTGCTGGTTATAAAAACAGATTCACAACATAGACATCCTGGGGAACAGAGTTTGCTGCACATCTCAAACATAGCATCTAGCTATTTTCAGTTTGCCTCCATAATGTGCTGGAGAAGAGCAAAACAAAGCATGAAAGTCTATTTTGTGTTAAAAATTAATTTCATTGTATCATTGAAACTCAAATGTTCTGTACTGGCACAAAAAGAGCCTCTTAAAGTTCTATTAAATTTGAAAATTCAATTTGAAAATTGAAGAACTTGTAAAAGTCTAGATAGACAAATACTATACAGAAGGCAATGATTGCTACTCTTTATTGTAAGTTTGAAGATGGCATAATGAAACGGTGGGTGCCTAAGAAGTTTTCATTACTCCATAGAGTAATTATGAAAGGTTTGTTTGCATTTCATTTGTAAACTTAATGTTTATAAATATAAACTTAATCTAGTGTTTCTTAGGCATTTATTCAAGTGCATACTTGAATAGATAGACTGCTGATAGAGTTCACCATTTTGACTTCTGTATCCACTTTATTTTTCAATTTTCAACTTAGCTTTTGCTTTCTGTGGTATTTTCTACAGAAGAACACCCTTATCTAAAATAAAATAAAATAGACATACTTGCTAGATGGACAGTAAAAAAAGGATTATAAGTTTTCAAGATGTATTTTAACTAGTTTTTAGTTTTCTATTATAAGAACTTACCTTGATGTTTTTAGTGTTTCACTAACATTCTTGGAAAACAACATGTATGCAAATGAATGTTGTGTATCTGCAGCCACAACATTGCTAACAGGTGTGTTCAGTGTTTGGGAAGTGAAGGAAGGTTGATGGGAAAAGAGAACTCCCCCATTAGTTGTTTAGGTTTTTTTGTCTAGTTAGGACTATTTTCAAATTTTGCAGGTCCTATAATTATAATTTACTAATTAAATATTATTAAAGTAATTAATAATAAAGCTGTTTATACTAACATGAAATAATGTCTTACACAGACATGTCTAGTCTGCTAGAGTCCACAAGGTGGTGTTTGATGGTTTAATAATCTTATAATTTCCCTACTTTTGCCATCCTGACTTATCAGAACTTAAACAGTGTGTGTTGTGAAAACTAGCTTGCTACTTGCTGCTTTTTAAGTTGTTAGCACAAGCAAGTTGGGTTTGTTTGCTCTGTATCATCTTTTTGTTCAACAAAACTGGAAAAGGTGGGCAGATACTCAGTTTCCTTAGTGCTATCCACAAAATAGTTCTCATGAAGTAAAAAATTCTTTCATATCTGTTCTAACTAGTTAAACAACTTCTGGTGAGATGTGTGGGATTGTTTTATGTATATCAGGACAGATTTACTCTGTTTCTCTAGACTGAGGTATTCAAGCCCAGTGAAGAAGTTTAACCAGCAGTTTGAGCTTAGTTTTCTAAATGCTACGCTTTGTTATGAGTCCTCTGAGTATTAAATGTGGTTATAATCAGATTAGTTTAATTTACAGAAATAAAATGGGCACAAATAATCTTTGGATTTCATAACTTCTTACTTAAAATGTGATATAATCTTGGGAATATTTGGTCATACTCCATAAGGAACAGTTGGATAGTTAGCTCTCATTGCTTTTTGTGGTTAAAAGGTGTTAACAGTAACAGTTGAAAACTGGTTTTTGAATTTTTTTAATTACAAATGTCTTTACAGGAATTGCTATTTTTCACTATAATTTTTCCCCCACCATCAAAAGGCATTTGTGTACTTTGTATAGAGATTGACCTTGTGCCAACCCGATTACAACAGCAGGCAGTTTGTTAAATTAAACTTTTGTTGGCAAATTTGCCAACTATTAGAAGAACACAAACGTTTTTCCACCACTTAAAAAAAACTGGCAAATTTGCCAACTATTAGAAGAACACAAACGTTTTCCCACCACTTAAAAAAAAAAACAAAAAAAAAGTGTAAGGGATTAAAGAAGTATCCCAAAAAGTTGTTAATTTAGTGTGCTTAATTCCAAACACTTTGAGAGAACAGTATATGTGTACAATAAATAAAGCTTTGCTTCAAATGGTAAAGTATGACGCATCAAACCCTGGAAGATGGTGTCTTTGAATGAACCCCTGAACTATCTGCTCTGTTCCGTTCTGCCCTCATTTTGCTGAAGACCCTAAGCCAAAAGTAACTGGGGAATGATCAGAAAGAGGTTTATTATTATGACTTCATTACTTTTATTATATAACTCAGGGACATTGTCTGCAGTCTCTGACTTTGTTCCCTAAGCTGGTTTATGGGGTTTGGTAGTGTATGCAATGGGAGATCAGGTTTGAAAAATCAGTGGATAGAATTTATCCAAAGAGAATTATTTGAAAAATTATCTTACTCAATATCTGACATCAAGTATCACTCAGTGATGGAAAATAACGTGGCAACTTAGGCAACTGGCTAAAAAAAATGAGAGCAGAGATAGTATTTTTAGCATTGGTTATGGGAATAAAATGTTTTTTCAAGTATTTTTAATTAAAGTGTTCTTTGCTTTTATAAATTATAGCTAAAAACAACTCATTTTGGAAAGAGAATTGGCTGCAAAAGTGTATAGCTTAAAGTGGCATTTGCACAGATGCATTTTGTCTTTATGGCTTCCTTTCTGTTGCAGGTGTGTTGAAGTAGTAAAAGCTTCCCACTATGTAGAGTTAGCCAATGACCTGGAAATAAATAAAGCGACTACTTACCTGAGGCAGCGGGATTTTAACCAGGTATAGTAACTTTTCACACTCCTACTTTTGAGGACTGTATTGGGAAAGATATCTTTCTTAACCACAGAATATTTTTCAGCAAGGACAAGAAAGATTTATGCAAACATAATTACTATTTTAATGCTGTTCAGTAAGATAACTTTATAGAAACATGGACAAGCTGAATACCTCTGTCATCTAAGGTCCTTCACCTTCCTCTAGCTTGAGGGAATACATACAGAGCCACGTGCTTAACTTAGCCCCCTTTTGCTTGTAATATTTAAGCTCTTCTGGTTTCCTGAGCAGCTTTTGCTCCTGCTGTCTGTCCTGTCCTCTTCTCCTTCCCTGTAGAATACAGCGAGAGAGTTACCCTTTATTGTACTGCATGTCTCAGAGGTCCCTTCCAACCATGATGATTCTGTGATGTCTGACTGGTAGCTTTTCTGATATCAGGAAGCAGTTTGAGAGTTTGGAAAATTGTGGACAAATCTCGTAGCTTTATTGATGGTAGCTTTTAAAGGGTGGGAATGTTACAGGTAGGTAAACAGTCATATGATCTCAAGAATTTAGTATTTTGATAGTAATTTTTTGCAATTTCCAGGTAGTATCCAGTATAGGTTAAAAAAAAAAATAAATCAGCTCTCAGAGGTAAAATAAGTATTTTGATAGTAATTTTTTGCAATTTCCGGGTAGTATCTGGTATAGGTTAAAAAAAAAATAAAAATTAAATCAGCTCTCAGGGGTAAAATGAGATTCAGAGATTGTTGGTGATGTTTCTGTGGAGTACCCCAATGGAGGGAGAGGGAAGGATTGTTGGAAGCTAGAAGTAAGTGGAGAAGATGCTCTTTTTATTTTGATTATGTGATAGAAGACCTTTAACCTTCACTGGAACTACTTAATAGTAGAGTGGAACAGCAGAATGGTGATTGCAGAGGGTCTTTTTTTTGTTCTAATAAAACTGCAGCTGCCACTTCTATTCATCCTGACTGTTGTTCATACACTTACTAACTCACCACCTGCTCAACACACCTTTGGCTGAAGAACAAGAATGGAAACTTTTTGAAATATTCTGTTTCAAGGCTGAAAGTTTTATTGTGTTTCAAGAAAAAGAACTAAAATAGATTTCTGCTGTAACTATAATGGGCTTAACTATGTGCTCATTGTAATGAATATTTTATTTTAAAACAGTCCTAGCAAAAAAAAGTAAAATAATCTCTGGGTGGAAATTACCATAATATGTCTAGACTATATTTTATTAGTAAGGAGGTTTGTGTATTAGGTATCACGGAATTGTCAGAGTTGGAATGAATGGTTTTTTTAATTTCAAAGATCAGCTTTGAATTTAAGAACAAAATTCTGCAGGTTAACCATGCAACTCCTTTAACATCTCTGGCAGGCCCTGCTTGGGTCAGGCAAGCTGCTTTGAAGTAAGCAAATAGTTTAGGTACTTTGGAAACAAGTCATGATGAATGATTTGGACAATCTGTGTTTTGATTTTTGAATCTAAGTAATTGTTAATGTTGGGATTAAAAAGTTAGAAGTTATTTAGAAATACATAAACTTAGGTGATGTTATAGTGAAAGCATTTCTACTTCACAAGGATAAAAGGAGTATTGCTATGGATTTACATCCTAGGGCTCATAATTGCTGAAATGATTCAAGAGACCTGCAACAAAATTTAACAGTAAGGGAGAAGAGTTCAGAGTCATATGAACTTTTCATTATACATGAAAATAAGATTAATTCCACTCTAATTTTTACCATCAAAGGTGCCATTTAGTAGTGAATGCAAAGGTAAGGAAATAATCTACAATGGAACATGGCTTTTTAGAAAGTGACTGAACTACATAGCTCTAAGTTTTCTAAAAATCAGTTCTGTTGTAAGAAATGCAGTTTTTACTCAAAGAAGCAAGTCTTTGCTTAAGAGCACAGTACCTGAGGTATAGTAGTGTTATGTCTGGGACCATTCTGTTTTTGGAGAAATTCACAAATATATATAAAAGTCTAAAATTATCGTATTTGAAGTCACATCTCAGAGACCACAAAATCTAAATCTTAACTTTTTAAATGCTTTTCTTGATTGAAATTGGTGTATTTCTTTAGAGGATTTTCTATTATTAGGAGGATATTATGATCTTTAGTAGTTCTTAGTTCTTGGGTGGAATGTAGTTGTCTAAATGAACTACATCTAGCTGTATATACTTTGTCATTTTACACATCATTAGTACAGTCATGTCTTTTTTGTAAAGTGACTGTGAAAACTGTATGTATGACAGTCAAATAAAACTTGTTTCCTTTATGTTTGTTTTGGCATTCTGTGTACACTGTCATGCGTGCAGTTTGATGTATGAACAGCAGCTTCTAGGTTTCATGTGGACGAAGACAGAAATTTTTGAATTGCTATTGTTGATGTCTAAATTGAGGTTGCAACATCTGTGTTGTAAGAGATGACAAAACTCATTGTAATATTCTAACAGTTTGTGTAGTTAAAACAAATATTTAGTGTAAACAAGCCAGATTTTCGTAATAATTCAGTCTGCACTTAAAAATGTTATCACATAGTCAGTCAAAAAAAAAGGCTGCCTTTTATTTCAAAGTTTCTTTGATAGTTTATTAGCTATAAAATTGTTTACTTTTTGCCCATAAATGTACTTCTTTTGAAGTTTATGAAATTTAGTTTTCATGTAAAAGATTACACAAAAAAGTCTTCTGGCCTCAGTCTTCATGTTTGAGTAATTCCTGAACTTAGACAGGTGTCATCTTAGTCCATAAAACAACTGCAAGTTGAAATCCAATTCTGCTGTCTTGCATGGGTTTTTATATAGCTTTTTAAGAACTTTTTTAGCTTTTTAATAATAGTTTTAATGTCAATCCTTTTGTGTTCACTTAACTGGAAAAATTGGTATAAGAATTTTAATTAGTTGACTAGATTAAAAGCAAATAATATAAACTTGTGGTTTGTATGTCTAGAATTGTCAGATATCTGTGTACTTCTAGGTAGCCATATATAATCTAAATTTTGAAGAAGTAATAAATAGCCAATACTATTGAAATTTTGTGACCAAGATTAATATTATGTATAATATAGATCTACTTCTGTGTGTACATGCTTACAAGCGTGGATTACAAGCTCTAGTAATTATCATGTATGTCAGTATATGAGTTGATAATTTTAGCTGTTTGTTACTGTGAAGTTTATCAATGCTTTCTGAAAGAATTTTGGTTTAAGTTTGCTTCAGTGGGAAATAAGTTGTTTCTAAATTACTTCTAGGCGCTGGAGACTTTAAAAATGTTTGAAAAAAAGGATAGCAGAGTGAAGAGCGCAGCTGCAACAAACCTTTCATTCCTTTATTATTTGGTAAGTGTTTGCTTCAACCAAACTAGTTAAGAACTGGAGTTATGTAGCAGTTTCTGTATCTTTGTAGCAATTTATGTGTCTGTCTAAATACTTTCTGTAAACAACAAGTAACTGCTTGGTAGAGAAGTTACTCTGGAACAGCCATTTTTGGCTGTAGTTGAGGTTTGGAGCCTGTCCTTTGTATGCTGTTGCTGGGAGGAAGAGATTGGGGCTGGGGCCACAGCAGTATGTGGTGTTTGCTTCAACCAAACTAGTTAAGAACTGGAGTTATGTAGCAGTTTCTGTATCTTTGTAGCAATTTATGTGTCTGTCTAAATACTTTCTGTAAACAACAAGTAACTGCTTGGTAGAGAAGTTACTCTGGAACAGCCATTTTTGGCTGTAGTTGAGGTTTGGAGCCTGTCCTTTGTATGCTGTTGCTGGGAGGAAGAGATTGGGGCTGGGGCCACAGCAGTATGTGTGTCTGCAGTGTGGTTTGTGCAGAAGCTCAGCAGCTGCATTTAAAACGCGGGTTCTGAAGACCCTGGCTGAACTTCAGGAAGATGTGAAGTACGTAGTTTAGGCAGGCGTGTTTGCCTATGAAGTTAATATGGTATGAGGAGTGTTTTTTTGTTTTTGTTTTTGTTTTTTTTTTTTTTTTAAAAGAAATACTATTTTGTTGCAACATGTTTTTTTTTTAAAGAAATACTACTTTGTTGCAACTAAGAAAACTTCCAGACTGTATGGGACAGTGGCAAAACACGTCTCAAGCATTAAGTTCTCTGAAACTCAAAAGAGATGATCTGCCTTACGCAATTACATAAGGAATAGTTTAGGACTGAAGAGCGTATTATTTGTCTCGTTCTCAATATTCTCAAATTCTACCATATTAACTGTAAGAAGCCACAGCTGCAAGAAAATTAACTGACAAATAACTAATACAATGTTTGTTTTGTTCCTGTAGGAGAATGAATTGGCACAAGCAGCTAACTATGCAGATTTAGCTGTAAATTCTGATAGGTACAATCCAGCAGCTCTAACTAACAAAGGAAATACTGTTTTTGCAAACGGAGACTACGAAAAAGCAGCTGAGTTTTATAAGGAAGCTCTCAGGAACGATTCCTCATGCACTGAAGCACTTTATAATCTTGGTAAGCCAAAGGTGCTTTTGTCTAAAGGTAACACTAGTGTTTCTGAGAATCTGCCTTTCAAAATTTTACTGTATAGAAATATATCGTAATTTATATTATAACAAAGTATTAATTTGTACTTCCTATGTGTTCAGCAAAAAATATCAGTGTTAACAACATCAACTAGTAACTGCAGATGATTAAGTCACTTTGAAGATAAAAATTTCTACTGTCTACTAGAAACATACGTTTTAGCATTTTTAAACCATCAGAGTCATTTCCCTCTAAAAGCCCTCCCTTTGCCTCATTGATCTTGCTCAGAAAGTGAGATTCCATATGTTCTTGATCTTTGATTAGATTTGTGTTCCTTGTATTTGTCAGCCTGCTAAGTCACATTAGCTGGTAAGAATTACAAGCATGGCTTTCCAGAACAGGGTTTGTCAATGTCAATGCAGTTATACTGCCTCAGATTACAGTGCTCCTATTTAATTTTTCTTGGTTATTTTGTCAGTTAATATGCTGCAGTAATTTTTTTCTCATTGCATTAATACTGTAACCTTTATTTTTTTAGGTTTAACGTACAAGAAGTTAAACAGAATAGATGAAGCTTTGGATTGTTTTCTGAAACTCCATGCAATCCTTCCAAATAGTGCCCAAGTCATTCACCAGATAGCAAGCATGTATCTTTTTCTGGACTATAATAAGGGATAGTGGTTGTAGTAAACTCATTTAATCTGAAATATGTGTTTCAATCATGATGTGAAGACTTAGGAATTTACTGTAGTGTCTGTTATAATTAGGATGATCATGCATGGATTCATTCTCCCATGTTTGTAAAAATGAGAACAGAACTTCCAGTGTTCTTGGACATCTCCAGTGAACCAAGTAAAGAGCAGCTAAAGTCTCTGAATATTTATTTTTCTTCAGTGTAACAGAATTACTGTGATATGAATGAAATTATGAAAATAATGCATTAAAAAAATATAAATCCCAATGTGTCTCCATGCTACAGCAACTAGTGTATCTGTCCAGCATATAGATTACATTATGTAAAGTAGTAGGAATTCTGAGTAAACCAAAATATTATCAGCATCAGGCCTTGACTGAAGAAAACTCAGATATGAGATCATGGAAGATCCCAATCAAGCCATTGAGTGGCTCCTGCAGTTGATCAGCGTAGTACCAACTGATCCACATGTACTTTCAAAGCTAGGGAAATTATATGATAATGAAGGTGATAAATCCCAAGCTTTCCATTATTACTATGAGGTACTTGCTCTTTATTGCTTTTTCAATGCCCTTTCTCATAATTAAAGAACACTTTGTCATAAGTTCCTGTATCAAATTAACAACTGATTAATTTAAATTTTTTAAAATGTCATCCAAAAAGAAGATTTTTATGGGGGGTAGAGAGTTGACAAAATCTAATTTTTGTAGTCAGAGCTAAAGGAAACATATAACCTGTGTTTCCACATGGTTTGACCTCAGATTTTCATATTTCATATGGTCATTGTTTACATTGACCCCTAACAATTTTAATTTAAAATATAGTCTGAGATGAAATAAAAAATAGATACAAACATGTAATTTTAAAGGTGTGTAACAGAATCGTGTTGGTTAGAAGCTATATCTGTATAATGGATATGGAGATATACATATATAATGTGTTTGTGTTTATATATGTAAGTTTCTATATATATTTTAGTGGTAGAGGTACATGTTGTATATACACAATTGCCTAAAGATGGGCATCTTCTCTTATTTCAAACCAGCTACGGTACTGTCTGTAGTTTGTAGAGATTCTTCTGTTTTAGAAACCGGACTAAGACAGGAGGTTGCTTTGCTGCAGTCTTAGAGTTTTTTTTAATCTGTGTAAAACAAGGGTAGCCAAAGTCTGAGTTGCAATCTGAATACTAGTGGAGTTGTGCTTGATGATAATTTTGCTGCCTATTTCAGTGGGAATTTCTGAAAAGCCAGAAATGTTATTTATGTACATATATACTTCATAGAAAAGAACGGTTTTAGGTACACTTTCTAGCAGACTGATTTGAGTTGGAATTGTATACGTATTAGTTAGCATTGTTTAACATCTTAGGTAACTTACTCACATGTAGACATGATCTAAGTAAACGTTTTTGCTGTTGCAAGTTATTTCAAATAAGGCTAGATGGAAAATGTGACAGACTATCTCAGGTAACTTCTAAAAAGTATTCCATAATTAGAAAGCTTGGCATGCTTTCCTCCCTCCCCCCCTCCCAGGATTACTTGGTATGGCACACTACTTCCATTCATATATTACACAATTTTGGCATCTGGAGAATTAAACACTTGAGTAAGATATTCCAGAAGTAACATAAAGATGTTGATTATCACTAAAATTGTGTTTCTTTCACCTTTCCTATTTTGTCAGTCATACCGGTATTTCCCTTCAAACATTGAGGTCATTGAATGGCTTGGAGCCTACTACATCGACACCCAGTTTTGTGAAAAAGCCATTGAATACTTTGAAAGAGCAGCACTTATCCTGTAAGTAATCATTATTTTACGCCTACTCGAATATTTTGTGATTAGATGTCCATAAGCATACCTAGAGATAAATTAGTTGGGTAACTTTGATGCTACAAGCAAACACCACAGTCAAGACTATTTCTGTTTGTTTACAGTGTGTTTTTGCTCTTACTGTGCAATTTCAATGTTAAATAAGATCCTTCATTGCGCCCAAGATAGTAGTAGGTATAAAAATCTCTTTTCTTTATCCTCTGCCATTATACCCAGCTATGAAGTGGGGAACAGCTCTCCTAGAGCCACCAAGACCTTCTTCTGTATGGGTTTATGCAAAATATGTCCTATTATTTTGTCATGTACAGAGGATTTGATGGTTTAGATAAGTGCATCTTTTAGCAGTTCTTGCTGCACTTCCACTTTTCACATAACTTCTACTCCCATAAAAAGGATATTACAAATAAGGTATGGAAGTAAGCAAAAAGGTGCAAGGCAGAAATACCAATGGTTAGCGAAAATAAGTTGACAGATCAAACTGATCCTGATAAGAAATATTTGAAATATTTTGAGCTTAGTTCAGCAGAAATTGAGCTGAATTGCTGAAATTGTCCTGTAGCAGAATATGATGCACTTAAGAAAGCATGTAAGCCATGTGTTTTGTTTTAGATCAAAAAGAGACAGACAAATGGTTAATAAACAAAAATGTGGCTAAATTTAAATCTGTAATCCAGAGTTCAAACAGAATTCTAAAAAAAATGCATCTAGTCTTTTTATGTGGAAACAAATATTTTGCTATATGTTCATGAAGAATTTTGTGTTAATAGACCAATTAAAATTCACGCAAATAAAATTTGCTCCAACAAGTGTGAATTTCTCTATTTTGTGCATTGGGAAACCTATAAAAAATCACACTAAGCAAAACTCAATTGTTACTTGTCTTGTGATGATCTAAAATTTACATTCTTTTTCTTCTGTGAATCTGAATGCAGGCATGAACAAGACAATATGTGAACTAAAATTTGTACAATATTATTCAAGGAAAGATTATACTCTGAATACATTGTTAGAAGTTCAGTAAAAAAAATATTAATTCTGGTTTTGAAAGGGCTTGAATTAGAGTAGACATTGATTATAGAATAGAAAATTCAAGATTTAAATAAGGATTAAAAATGGAAACAGAAATAAATAGAAAAACACAGACTTCACCCAAATTGTGTTATGATTATAAGGAAATAGAGGTGTAAATTCGATGAAAATACAGAGGACATAGTTCACAGAAATCACAGGTCACAGATTTGCCAGTATTCTTTTCAGTATAAATACTGGCCACCTTAAAAAATTGTATTTCAGTCAACCTATGAGATCACATTTCAGTATAAATACTGGCCACCTTAAAAAAATTGTATTTTAGTCAAGCTATGAGATCACGTATGCTGGCATTCACGGCCTTGTTAGAAACTTTGGAAAGAAACAGCTGAAACTAAAAAGAATTATTTCATAATCTTGTTTTGGCAAAAATCTAAATATTTTATGCTTCATGTTGCTCTCAGCCCATGCATGAAATGTGAAGTATGTGGATTGTAAAGCACTTACGAATAATTGGCATATGAAATTCTTCATTATTATGTGTAATTGTAATCTATCTGTAATACAGAGAAATTATTTCTCTGTGGAATGAGATTGTTAATAGTAGATAACAAAACATAGATGATTTGGTGTTTATTTGATATTAAAAATAGTCTAGATATGCTAATTAATAAATATGAATATTTGGTTATGAATTGCTACTAGTTGTTATTTGATATTAAAAATAGTCTAGATATGCTAATTAATAAATATGAATGTTTGCTTATGAATTGCTATTAGTTGCAAATAAAGTTATACTTTAAAATTATAACTTTATTTTAACCATAACCAGCATTTTTTAGTTTAACATTGTTTACTGTATTCAGTGTTTTAATCACAATAATTACATTTTAAATTGCATTCTAAGTTAACATCAGACAATGAATTGAGAGACAGTTATTCATTATATTACATTTCACAAGTATGCACAACTCTATCGTTAATAAAAGGAGTTGTGCAGCTAATGCTGCCTGCTGACAATTTGTTCTATCTAGATTTTTCATACTAAAATGCGTAATAAACTTTATTATGGTGTTTGCTTGGCTGCTTTCGTTGTTTGCAGGAGACATATTCAGCTGAAACTAAAAAAGGTGAGGCAGCTGTCTTTCATAAGCTTGTTTGGCAACTACAAGACAAACAGAGTATTTAGAGTTAGAAATGGCCTGTGCTGTGACTAGAGGGGAAAAAATGAAAAGAATAAGTACAAAACTGTTCTGAAAATGTTAGTGTACAATGCCTCTGGGATATGCTGCTGTTGAATTGTAAGCCACATGTGAAAAGTGCTTTGGTTTATAGAGCATCCTTACATTGCTGACACGAACATTTCCTAATTTTCACATTATCTTGGTAACAATGAGGAAAGAGTCCAACAGTTTTGTTGTACGTGCTCAAAGACCTCAAATATTTTCTCTGACCATGTCTATCACTGTTATGTGCTAAAAAGAGAAGGACAGGTAGCAGCTTGGACATTGAGGAGGTGACAGAGGAGAAGCCAGGGTTTGAAGCTCTTGGGAGTGTGCTGGCAGGCATCCCTTGGGTGTGCTCTGGGTCCTACTGGTGGGACTTCCTCAGAACACAGTTTAGGATTTTGTTCTCCCCCGTTGTGTGGTTCTGTACCTCAGATAAAGATTAGTGGTTCATATGTCAGGTCTACTAGTTGTGTCTGGTACACAGAATGATGAGCAGGAGAAAGACTATATTGGACTACAAATAAGTGACATCGAGACCTGAACGCTGGGGAAGACTGTGTGTGAACTGAACAGGCTGAATCCTTCCTAGGAAAGCAATGCACTAGGTGAAAAATTTCACGAGTAGTTTAATAGTAAGTATTTTCCAATGCTGTGCAGATTATTTTGCTTATTCATTGTTTGGCAGTGTGCATAATTTTATTTTATTCATATGCAGACCAACACAAGTGAAGTGGCAGCTGATGGTTGCCAGTTGCTATAGGAGAAGTGGTAAGTTCTTTAACTTTTTTGTAATTGGTTAGAGGTTTGTAACATTTTTTTGTAGTTAACTGGGGTTCTTCAGCCTGGAGAAAAGAACATGTCTTATAAGAAAGATAGAGAGAGACGTTTTATCAGGGCCTGTAGTGACAGGACAAGGGACAACAGATTTTAAACTGAAAGAGCGTAAACTGAGATTGCACATAAGGAAGAAATTTCTTGCAATGAGGGTGGTGAGACACTGGAGCAGGTTCCCCAGAGAAGTTGTGGATGCCCCATCACTGAAAGTGTTCAAAGTTTTTTGAGCAACCTCAAACAGTGGGAGGTGTCCCTGCCCATGGCAGGGTGGTTGGACTAGATGGTCTCCAAAAGTACCTTCCATCCCAAACCGTTCTATGATTTGTTTTGTTTTGATGGATATTTTGATTTTTTCTTTTGATCTTTTCTACCTGATGTGAATACTAATCCTATAGTTTGTTTGAAAATTCAGTTACACATTAATTTGTTATGAGCGTTCTGTGTATAGCTAATAAAACATGACTTTTCTTTTATGTCCAGGAAGTGCATCTGCACTGACTTACACACAAAACACTCCTTGTGCTGTTAAATAAGTAAAATAAAGATAATACTACAGCACGAATGATCTGATAAAAAAATTTAAAATGTAATCATACCACCATCTGATGTAACATAAGTAATTAGATGTTAAAGTTGCCTAACTTCTACTTCTTTTCAACAGCAGGTATAATTTTTCAATATTTAAATAGTATTTGCATTACACAAACAAAAGACAGCCTTAATGTGTTGTATTTTCTTACTGGCAACATACTACACCAATAAGCAAAGTGGAAAGAGACTAATCTTTCCAGGTTTTTTTTCAGTGCCTAAAATGCATCCAAGGCACTTGATGTAAATAATACTCTTCTTTCCTGCTGTACCATTTTGCCACTCTCCTTTACGCTTCTTTGGAATTTTGCCGAACAGACTTTGGTAATAGATAAGTGCATTTTCTCAGTCTGCTCAGTTATTTAATACAACGGTGAGAAAAGCAAAAGGACCTGGGTAAGTCAGTGAATTAAGAACAGTCAGCACCACTCAAAACTAGACGGATTAACTGTTTTCCCAGCAAAGAAACACAATGCTTTTGGCTGCTTTTTAGACCATTTGTGATTCATTGGCAAAATTCCCAGCTGATTATGTTAACACATAGCAGATCTCTACCTTGCACTAATAAAATAAAAATAAACAAACTTTTTTGTCACGCATTTTATGGCTATGAGGTTTTAGATTCACAGGGTCTATCAGTCCTTTCCATAATAATCAGGCTGAGCCAAAATTGAAGGCAAAAGTCTTAAAGAATAATTATTTCACTACCAGATCTGGGCAAAGGAGAGACACACAATTAGTATTCTGAGGGAAGGAAGGACAGGCAGAGCTCAGCTCATTTCTGCTTGACCAGTCCATTGCATTTGCAGCCTCAGATAAGCCCTGATGCGCTTGATACAGCTTGTCTAGTAGATGCATCATAGAACAAGGAGATCCTAGAGGCAGGTCAAAAAAGGGCAAAAATCAGGAAACTCCTCTTAATTCTGTTGTTTACAGAGTAATTCTGACTGTTTTTAGATGCTCTTAATTTTTACTGTCAGTAGTTAAAGGATGTTAAGTTTGGTTTTATCAAATTTGATCTTACTATATTAAATCTTGTACTCAAACTAAAAAGATGAAGTGATGTTAAACTATACCAGTTTCTCATCAGATATTATTTTTTATGTTTGGATATGTGGATAGGAGATGTTTGTTTTGTTTGCAGGTAACTACCAGAAAGCACTAGAGAAATACAAAGTCATTCACAGAAAATTCCCAGAAAATGTTGAATGTAAGTTGTTTCATTGAGTGGTACAACTATCAAAGGAAACTTTGTTACATTGAATGTGTGTGTTAGTAGTCTTATGATGTAAATATTTTTCACATGAAAATATTTTCACAAACTAACATTTTTTACTCACGCTAATGCTGCATGTTTTCTGTGTCAACGCTGAAGAGTGATTTAAGAAGTATTAGGGTAATGCTGAAGAAGAGAGATGAAAATAAACTGTAGTGGGTTGGTTGAGTTCTCTCTCATATTTTTACTTCTAGTCCCTGGTAGTTGAAACTCCTGCTGTAAGTTTCTAGATACGAGAAAATCTTACTAAGTTTTACCCAAGCCAGGCCTTCCAAACTAATGTCGGAGTGAGATTTTGTTGTTGGGTTTTTAAGTATAGTAGGTCAGCCAGACTCTAGAAGATCCATTGAGAATTTCAAACTATACTACAGGAAACATAACTTTAAAGAGCAAGATATTTTGCAGAATCAGTCACGCTATCCTCTAAATGAAAAAGCCCTGTAGAAAATAGGGGTTGTCACTGGTTGTGAGGACATCCTCTTAACGTACTGCGCTGTGCCTCACTAATTCCAAAATGGCAGATTGTTGCCAACAAGCCTGTGCTTCTAAACGCTATGTGGGAAGAACATTCACTGTATTTTAAAATAAAGTGGTACCATTCTGCTTTAACAAACATACTGCTTTTTAAAAGAGGAATCATACAGCTGTGTTGTACAAGAGAAATTCAGTATTATGACTCCTCAAAGTTATAAACAAAATGTGATGTTCATATTGGTCACACGTATTTCAGAGGGGTGGAACATTTAGTAAACCTTTCAGAATGCTAATATTTTTCCAAATGTAGTTTCTACAATTACAAAACAGAAGCAGGAGTTAAACATGACAATTTAAGTGATTTAAGTGTTCTGCTGTTGAAACAATGTGTTTTCACTCATCCCTCCCTGGCCACGTGCTCCCAGCCACCTTGTGCTCATTCTGATGCTTATCTGATCCCTCAGTGAACAAGTTCGTCTCCCTCAACCAGCACAAAACTAACAGCACAAAAAATTCAGGAGCACTCAGGAGAATAATGGTGCATGTCATGTATGTTTCCTCTTCAGAGGCATTTATTTCAAAAAGATGTTGACAAACACATAGGAATAGCAACAATGTTTTCAGAGTTTGGTATAGTGTCTCAGGAGACTGTTTTTAGGGATTCTTTTAGGTTCCATTGTGCAGTTACAGTCTATCTTCATGCCTGGTTTGTTGGTTTGGGTTTTTTTAGTTCTGTAAATACTAATCTTTAAAAAATCAACTGCAGCAACAGAAAAAACAAACCATTCTGATTAACTTGGCATTTGTAAAACTATTTTCATCAAAATGTTATTGACAGTGTCTCCTCAGTAATAACTCAGTATCGTTATTGTGTTTTCTGGTTTCCAAAGCATTTTGCAATTATTAAAAGAGTCCTGAGCCAGATGAGTTAGTGTGTCTTGTGCCTTCCACATATATAAATGGTATTTCTACTGTTATAGACACTGCATTACAGAAAATTTTAAATTGTTTGCAAAATATCACAACTTGCATAGTGATACTTGTATTCCCAGCTATTTGCATTGTTTGCCATTCTGTATGCTGTTAGGGTGCACTTGTAGTTTGACCTAATTGTAAGCCTTTTTTTTTTTAAACAATATTTTGCTTTTCAATTAGGCCTCCGATTTTTAGTTCGTCTCTGCACAGATATGGGGCTGAAGGAAGTCCAGGAATATGTAACAAAGCTCAAGAAAGTGGAAAAATTAAAAGAAATAAGAGAGCAGGTAAGCTTGGTTCTCTCTGTGATTATACAGTATCACTACATACATAGATGAAGCTAAAATAGCATTTACGATACTTCAAGATAAAATGTGTATTAACTTCCTGCTTTGGAGAGGCTCGTATTTTGTGGGGTTTTGGTTTTTAAGTTTTAAATTACTGAACAGCCTTATATCTGTCTGAATGGTTTTTGAGCACTGGATTTTCTGTGATTTTAAATACTAGTGAAAGATGGGATATGTGGATGTGATGGGAATACTGGAGCCACCCACATAATTCAATGTCTCTGGAATGTCGTCTTTCCTACTTATTTGCCAAACCATATAAAGTGTATTTATGAGCCAAGTAATAATGCAACTACAGGGGGAGAAGGGGAGCCTAAGAATTTGTCCATGTAGTAGAATTTTTGCTAAATGCGAAGCTGCAGCATTGACAGATTGCATAGGTAGAAGTAAATTATTCATGTTAACGCCACTTTTAAAACTGAAAAAAAAAAATAAATCCATGGAAAAGCTACAGGCTGTGAAAGGTATGAGATCATAACTTGTGCTCTATTCAGAGGAATAAGCGTGTGTGTTTTCTTGCTATTCATGTGATAAAGTAAGATTTCAAAATTAAAATCAGCTTCTTATTTGGAAAGCACTATCCATGCTGTTGAGCTGAAAAGCATTCAAGCTTGCTCTTCCTATCCAGTGAATTGCCTCAAAGCTACATGGTCACATTAGGATGCGTTAAGTCTTAGCTAATTTACTCGGCTCCTAATAACACTTACTGTCTCTTCTTTGATATTAGATCATGTGTAAATGCATCCTTAGTTACTTCACTTTAATTCGCTACCAGAGAGTCTTAAGTATGCATGTGTACACTAGGACATATTAAAAATGAAACTCACAAAGGGAAACACTGATCAAAGGATCCCAAATGTATGCCACAAGCTAACTTTGGGGGGCTGGTTGAAGTATATTTGTTTGAATTTTCAGTAAACGTAAAATTTAAAGCACTTGGGAAAGTGGACAAAGCGGTCCACAACTGTAGTGCAGCTAATATTCATCCATGGCTTTTCCATAATGGTATCAGTAAGCGAAACAGATGATCGGGTATAATGTTCCTATTCTGCAAAACTCACTTCAGAGAGATCTCTTAATTATATGCTAAACAGCCTTTGCTTGATTTCTTTTTCAACATTCAATTGAACAATGACTTCCAATACCTCAGTGCTTTACTCAGGAAAGCTCAGAGATTAAACCAGTTTAAACTGCATTATTTTGCAGTTGGTGAGAGAGACAGAGGTCCCTGGAGATGGAGGTGTTATCTATTTCCTTGCACATAATTCCAGCATTTATTACACTGAAGGGGTTAATTATGTACTGTGGATCTGTAAATGTTGAGGCTTCTTAGGAAAACACTTTTCTCCTTTAAGAAAGTTAATATTTCAGTATGTTTTAAAAAAAAAAATAAAATTGTCACATCTCTTCCTGTTTATTGCATGTTGGAAGCAGGAGCTTTTCTGAAGATATTTCAGTACTTCCTGGTGGATAAAAAGCTACCAATAAAATGTTTAAAATATCATAGAATAGTTTGGGTTGACCTTTAAAGGTCATCTAGTCCACTCCCCCCATAATGAGCAGGGACATTTTCAATGAGATCAGGTTGCTCAGAACCCCGTCCAACCAGACCTTGAATGTTCCAGGGATGGGGCACCTACTCCCTCTCTAGGCAAGTGTTTCACCACCCTCATCATAAAAAATTTCTTCATTATATCTAGTCTGAATCTCCACTTGTTTAGTTCAAAACCATTATCCCTTGTCCTATCTCAACAGGCCCCACTAAAAAATTTGTCCCCATCTTTCCTGCAGGACCCCTTTAAGTATTGGAAGGCCACAATAAGTTGTCCCTTCTCTTCTCCAGGCTGAACAACCCCAGCTGTCTTACCCTTTCTTTGTAGGAGACGTGTTCCCTCCCTCTCATAATTTTTTTTGGCCCTCCTCTGGGCCTGCTCCAACAAGTCCATGTCTGTCTTGTGCTGGGGACCCCAGACCTGGACACAGTCTTTAAAGGTCATCTAGTCCACTCCCCCCATAATGAGCAGGGACATTTTCAATGAGATCAGGTTGCTCAGAACCCCGTCCAACCAGACCTTGAATGTTCCAGGGATGGGGCACCTACTCCCTCTCTAGGCAAGTGTTTCACCACCCTCATCATAAAAAATTTCTTCATTATATCTAGTCTGAATCTCCACTTGTTTAGTTCAAAACCATTATCCCTTGTCCTATCTCAACAGGCCCCACTAAAAAATTTGTCCCCATCTTTCCTGCAGGACCCCTTTAAGTATTGGAAGGCCACAATAAGTTGTCCCTTCTCTTCTCCAGGCTGAACAACCCCAGCTGTCTTACCCTTTCTTTGTAGGAGACGTGTTCCCTCCCTCTCATAATTTTTTTTGGCCCTCCTCTGGGCCTGCTCCAACAAGTCCATGTCTGTCTTGTGCTGGGGACCCCAGACCTGGACACAGTAGTACTCCAGGTGGGGTCTTATGAGAGTGGAGTAGACAGAAAAATTATGGTGTCTATGATGGCATTTATAATTAGTCAAAGCTTTAAGGCAGATCTGCCTAAACATTTTCCTATAGCATGTTGCCCAGAAAAGAGAACAGGCTTTTAAATCCGAATAAGCCTGATTTTATTATAATTTAAACTAACCCAATTCTCTTTTAAATAGAGAAAAATGAAATGCACTAGGTTGAAAAAAAACCAAGCAAACCCAAAAGAAAATAACAACACACCGCCACCTCAAAACCACCACCACCACCACCACTAGAAATAAAACAGGTTTCTAGTTAGCTCTGTCAACTTCTTCCCTGCAGGCTGGCCCGTGCTTCCAGCCTGTGTGAGTAAGCCCAGTGAGTTTCTGAATGGCAGCAACCCTGGGGTTCCTAGTACTTTCTCTTCAGAACCTCTGAAGCTTCTGAAGTTGCTTTCTGCTCCTTCCTGCAGCTCCTTGACATGGGGGCGTTTGCTCCTTATCTTCATCTTCTGGCTCTGGTCTGCAGACTCTGAAATCTCCCAAGTTCAGTGTCTCCTCAAGGAAAGGAACAACTTTTTCTCCCCCTTAAGGAACCCACTGACCTGTTTTTCTTAAAATTCAACACCATTGTACACGTAGAGGAACAAAGACACTAAGAAAAAAAAATATGTTGCAGAATGCACTGCCATTTAGTATGCTGCTGACCGGTATTAGAAGTTGAGTATATTTCTGTGAATCTCAATATCAGTGCTGTCTTCAAACAATAGCCCTGCAGTTCGTTTTTGCTATTGCTGTTACATCTGGGTTCCCGTCCCATGGTTTTGGGTTTGGGGAATTTTTTTGTTTGCTTGCTTGGTTTGTGTGTGTGTGGCTTTTCAGTCTTGTGTCTACCATCTGGCTTTAGAAATTAATAGGTATTTTTGTCCTAAGAAATTCCTTCTGTCATCCATGAGCGTATAGTAATAAACTATACTTTCAAGTTCTAAAATGATCAAATTTTAATATTTCAACACCTACGTTTCCAATAGCAACACTGGTTTCAGTTAGCAATACCAGATATAGTTCAATTCCTGCTCCCAATTTCAGACTAAAACGCGATTTCTCGATTGCACCCAGTAAAGAGAAAATAGCTAAATGCTAGCGTAATATACCTACATTTCAGTCTGCACACAGTCTTTGTCCTTCTGTAGAAATTAATTGAAATTTGCTATTCAGGCCATTGTTTTTCCAGAACAGGTATATCCACATGGAGTTTATACCAAAATAAATATTCTGGAGTACTTATTTCACTGGGTTCTCAAATATGGACAAGTTGTTAAATATTTCCAGCCAAGAATCTAGGAACATCTGTGGGGTTCATTCCCTGTATAAAATTTTTCTCCCTGCCTCTCACAGCATTGGATTTTTACTGCATTAATCTTTCTTTTTCACGTTTCAGTTTAAAAAAAGACAGGTAATAGTGTAAAAGTTCACACAACCTTCTTGGCACTGTTGTATACACACATTACTATTTATTTCCGTTAAGTGAGCTTAATGACTGAAAATGAGGGGCTGATGGGGTGTGGTGTGAAGCAGTGATGATAGGTGCAAATATTGAGGGGGACTTACTGCCTTTACCTTCAGGCATCTACATCTGGACTAATCATCCTAAATTTCTTTTGCAGTCATGGGAGAGAAATAGGCATTTTTAGGGTGGAAATCACTGGACCTATTTTAAATGTCTGCTTTTAGTATGGGATGACTTATAAACTACTCCCTTGGAACTTTACAGGAATTACTCATATGCGTAAGCTGTAGTTCTTCTATAATATTTTGGGAATAAAGTCCTAGGATGTAAATGCCCTGAGGGCACTGTCACATAGGGATCACTTCCCTCTTGCAGACAGGGGCTGAGCTTCCACTGGCAGACTTGCTGTCAGTCATTCAACATTTGGAGAGTCTGAACATGCTTCCTGAAGGACTGATATATGCTGCTTCACTGGACTGTGAATAGGATATTTAATCCAGAATTCAGAGAATATATTTTAGACTTGAGGATTTCCCAAAATAAATAATAAGTATGAGAAATTCTGGTCCCAGACTGGATGGCTGAGAGCACTCCTGGTTTCACATTAGGCTCCCTGCTTTCCTGTCTGACTCCTGTGAGTTTTGATTTAAGGGTTCTTCCATTTTCTGTTGGCATCAATTTTGGAAGTTCTTTCACTTCTGTGTCATTCCAACTTTGCCAGACTCCACGATATTTTTCGGGTGAAAAAGGAGTGAAGAAGCTATGGTAATTGACCTGAATACATAGTTAGGTAGTGTGCACATGTGTTTTAATCAGATCGTGAATTCAGATTTTGACATAAGATGCAGAGATTACTGTACTAACAGCTGAGCGCTTTAAGCACCAAGTACTTGTACCTATCCCAAAAAGCCTCTGGCTGAGATGTACCTTCTTGTAATTGACAAGATATTTGCACGAGAAATTTGGTGTTTTGCCAGGAGAAGCCAAGTCTGCCATGTGATACAGAGGTATTGCTTTGATAAACTGTTAAAGTTTTCATATAACACTAAAAAAAACACAGCTGGAAGATGTTTATGGTACCTTCCTCTGTGCAAGAGCGCTGACTTTTTAAACACAGCTTTTAAAGTATTTACCTTCACCTTTATCTTGCATTTAACACTCAACAGCAAATTAAATTTTGCTGTAAAGTTCAGTGCTGTGCCAAGTATTCAAAATTTAAGATCCATGGGGTGAATAGTTCTTTTTATAGATTTCCCTACTTCCCCCCCCCCTTGAATCTTTACAATAATAAAACGGTTGTGGGATTTACAAGACGTTAATAGGCAGAGGCTACTTTGAACTTGTGCAAGGAGGGCTGTGTTGCCTGTTTTTTCAGCTGTACTTTACAAAGGTACATCTGAACTATTTTTATGCACATTCCTTGTATAAATTTTATCTGAAGAAAAATGATTTATTGAGATACTCTGTTTGAATTTCATAGAGCTCTTGTTTTATGTAAACATTGGATTTAACACTGATTTTAAGGACAATTTCATGTGTTGAAAAAACAAGGTTTATTAGTTACAGTATAGTAAGCCTAGTTTAATGTTGTTCTACTGTTTTATTTATAAGCTAGGTTGAGTTTTCAATAATTATGCCTAATGTATATTACTAAATGGGGGGTTTGTTCTGTTCTTTTCAAATCTTTTTCACTGTTCTCCAGCGCATTAAATCTGGCAGAGATGGCAGCGCACGTAGCCGCAGAGAAGGAAGTGCTGGTGGTGGTAAGTACTTAATGCCTCTGCTTAAATATCAGATTTGTCAGGATCCTAAAGAAAATAGTTTTTCTTAAAGTGTTTGTAAAACTTGCTTACATTCTGAAATGCACACAAATAGGTAACGTACAAGTACTTCACAAATTTTCATATTTTTGATTATCTCATTGCTGTATGAAAGCTCAACGGGTATAGCAGCATGGATTTGATCTAAGATTTGAGCTTTATATACAGATCTCAGTGTATTCCTAAAGCTAAATTTCTGCTTCAGTACTGTGGACTTGAATGTTTTTATCCCATTAACTTTGGCATATTCGCTATAAGGAATCATTTATTACAACAAAACAGAACATAAACGCTATGAAAACCAGGAATTCATTGTGTCTTTATTTAACATAGAGAAAAGAGAATGTTGTGCCCACCATCTAGTCTATTACATTAGATGTTTTGTTACAAGTTCAAGAGTCTATTTTGTGCAACCAGCTCTGTAATAAGAAGACACCCATACTGTCTTTGAGCTGCTTCTTCCCCTTTTCCCAGTGTGGCAGAGCTGAGTCTTCCATAGAGGAAAGCTTGTGCTCTGACTACAAAGTCTCTCTGCTCCTATAGATTTACAATGCTGACTTTCATAAATGTAAAACTCTAGCAATGTAAGTCTGGAAACTGGCCTGCTTTGTCTTTTCTACACTAGGTAGTGTGCATATTGCAGAGCTAATGATTTTTCCCCCCCATTATTAAATCCATGAAATGTTAGTAATGTTAAACCTAACTGTTCCCCACCGGTGCTCTAAGGAAACTGGCAGACTTGGGCTCATTCAGCCATCTAGAAAAAAATCCATTTTGACCCAAATAGGAAATGGTTTCTTTGTATTCTATGTTTGATTTATCTTCATATTGGTGGGTCTCAAAAAGATATCCCTAATAAATTCTTGCCTCTTTTCTTTTCCTTTTACAGAGAAATAATTTATGGGATATTTTTTTTATTTGGTAATTTTATTTCTCCACCCACCTAGCAGATGCTTTACTATATTTATCCAAGTCTGTAGGGTCATGAAAAGTTATGGAATTACTACTGTAATCTTAAAATGACCTTAGAATGCCACTACGCTTATGAATATTGCTTTCCTGAGTTCTCCAAGGGTTAAGAATGAGCGTTGGATGCTTGAGAGGGATCTCACTCGTTTTTCAGCTCAGTAGTTTCACTAGAGAAGCTTTTAAATCATTGCTTGATATGTAAAAAAAACCACCATTCACCTAGGATTGAATTTTACCTATTCTGGGACTCAGGCCAAAGTAATTCTTGGGGTGAAATTCCTTATTTTGGTAACAGAAAGAGATGGAAACATTTCTGGACTCTCCTTTGTTACATCAGCCCAGTGATCAGGCAACCAGCTAGAAGTGCCAGCAAAACAGGGGTGTGAGACAGCATCAGTCCCTGTTTTCTGTCATGAAGTGAAGATCCACTTTGGCTTTTAATAAATAGAACCGAAGAGCAGCACTGGTAGCAGGCAGGGTATTTACAACTGTGCAATATGTTGCATCAGGCATATGGGCAAATGATACAAAGGGTCTCTTTTCTTACAGCTATATTTTGTAATTACCCCTACCCTCATTAGTGAAAACATGGCATGTTACCAGGAGAGAGTTGTCATTAATTTAGCAAAAGAGGATAGAAATAATTACCAAACTGGAAAGATGCTAAGACAGCATTAATCCCCCAAACTACCATTTTATCAATACTTCTTTTAAAGAAAAAAATACCTATTGAAAGTTGTCTTTTTAAAAAAAAATAAAATTTGAAATTAAAAAATCCCCTCCCCTCCCCTCCAAACTTGAAAACATGAGAACTTTGACTACAAGCTCTAGTAATTCCATGGCATTACTTTTTTCCCCCCATAACCAGAGTACTGGGAGAAGAGAAAATACAAACATTTAGGATGATAACATAGAGAGGATGAGAGGGTAAGCAGGGACAGAAGTGACCTAGAATTTGTCCTATTAATAATTCTTAGATCATTGCTCAAGATTTTAAGTCAAATGCATGAAAGAATGGGGGAAAAAAAGAGTTTGGTAACAAGTCTGTATAAGAGCGTGTTTGCAAAATCTCTGTTACACAATTTCAGTGCCAAAGATCCAGCCTTTCTGGAAATGACTCAGCAAACAAGCAGTGGTACAAAGAAGGTGCTGTATTGAGCCTGGAGTTAACTTTCTGCTGGGATTTCTAATTAAAATTTATAGTGAAATGTACCGCTTACATATATTTTTAGAAGGAGTCAAAGGCATTATACATTTTTTTAACTAGTAATGTTGACTCTGGGGAACCTTATCAGTGAAGAAGCTGCAGATGTTAACTACTAGGTCTGCTTTTTACTGAGGATGACTGAGAGAAACCTGAAGACCCAAGCTTATTTTGTCCAATATTAGGCATTATTCACCTGGGTTATGAGTCTGTATTTTGCAGTGTAAGAAACTTTTGTACATGGCAACTTTTGTACATGTGTGAAGACACATATGAAATACACACACGGGCTATTTTATTTCAGAATCTTAGTACACTTTTGGTAAGTTAATGGCTTCAAAATAATAATAATAAAAAGAAACATTTTGTATACATTTTAGGCTTAATCTTTTTCCAGTGGTGTTGCCAAGACCAAAAGGAATCATTTTCCTACACTGTATGAAGGATTTCCCATCATTACTGAAGCCAGTGAAGCGTGGAATCCTCCTTAGTTTAGTACTTCCTAGCTAAATTAAAGTACTTGGTAGCTAAATGCACTGTGTGTACATTCCAAATATTTTAGGTGGCATTCCTAACAGGTATTTTCTCCATAAGTATTTTGTCCCTATATAGTTATTTATATTAGGAGTATTAATAATTCAAGCTTCATTGTTTTAGGAAATATGATCTATTTTAAAGAGGAAGCTAAGAGGAAAGAGAACTAAGTCAGTAGGGTTTGTACTTAATAGGATACCTACTACTTTGTCAGTACAAGTTAAAATAGAAGGAAAATAAACCAACAACAAAACAAACAAACAAAAAACTCTAAAAACCTGAAGGGAACTAACAGTACCTCTGAGTTCTCAAAGATTTCCTGTTCAACAAGCTTCTCTTGTCTTCATACTCATGTTTTTGTGTTTTGCAGAGATGTGATACTAGCATCCAGATTTGGAAGTTAGGACATTGTGGTGTTTACTACCCTAAAATATTTTTACTGTTCAATAGCATAAGGCCTTTCATAGATAAGGGAAGGTATGACCTTAAGGAATACATTACTGTAGCAGTGTTTACTTGGTCTCTGCATTTGCTCTGCTCCCTGAATGGGGAATTTTGTACTGGATGAGAGGGGACTTTTGTACTGCCCGAGAGGAGCCATGCAGTCTCGGGCAGGAGCCCAAAGCAGCAGTGTTGAATTCAGAAGATGAAAGGCTGAGCCCTTTGCATTCCCCTTGTTACCTGAGCCTGTCCACATGAATTTGGGAAGGAAATGGTGCAAGAATAAATTAGGTATCTTTTTCCCTTTTTCATTTCAGCTGTGAAATGGCAAAAGGGGTTTGTCTGTCCCATATTCTAACACCCTTTACCAGCACATTTCTCATATAATATGCAAACATATTATAGATGTTAGGGCAATAAGCACCCCAAATAATCTTCGCTGTGATTGAGGCATGAGATTCTTTTGTTATCCTGCATCCAGGACTTCATGATCACTTATATTTTCTAGGTTCTGTGTGCCTGTTGATGCCTCATTAATTACAAAATATTGTGAGATGGTTCCATTGGTTGTATGTACAAAAAAGCCCCCAATCTTTTATTTTTATAAACAGTGAAAATTATTAAATGAAGAGAACATTTTAATGTCTTCTGCATCTGAACTCACCTAAGTTAACTTAACTGACATTCCAGAAACAATGTTCATTCAACAGAATTTCAAATCAAAATGAACTGCAGCGCAGTTAAAAATTGTATCTGCTTCCCATGTCATTTCTTGGTTTTAAGATAATATTTTGCCTGTTACACTGAACGTACTGTTCTCTTTAGTCAACCAAAACCAAAGCCCTCTCTTCTCCAAAGGCGGTGCTCTTCATCCTGAATATGAAAGATGCACAGAGCTGCATTTAAACACATTCTGGATTTAGTGAAGCATCTGCAGTGTTTAAAGGTGTTAGCCCACTATGCAATTCATTACATAAACATTTTACAGAGGAGGTAGACTACCAAACCAGCCTGCAGGAGTCTCATCACTGTAATTGCAACTGGTTAGAGTCCTTTAAAAAATAAAAACATTGGATTTCATGTGTTGAAGCGATATACACATGGGTATCTTGCTAAGTAGGAAGTTCAGAAACTCTTACAAATATTTGCAATCTTTTCTGCTAGATATCACTGCTTAAGGTAGGATTACTCCAAAATACAATTAATTTTGCAGAATGTTGCTTTATTCATTATTCTGTCATGTAAAGTTAATAATTTTTAAAAATAAGTTTTATATTTTGATTAATTTTTAAAATTGTATGTGGAAGAATTAGTTCAAATTAGTTCTTGTATGGAAGTTGAAGAAATATGAATAAACAGAACATATTATAATACAGCAATTTAATTAAATATCTTAAATATATCATTATGAGCATGACTTTTAAGCAGATAAGAGGAAGGAATGCACTGTAACAGATAACAGCATGTAGTGTATATTATTTATGTCTTTATATGCATAGCTCCCAGTTAATGCTATTGCACACAAACTGAAGGGAAGGTAATGTCAGCATGATAATCCAAATCTCAAGTTTAATCATTTTACAGAGTAAATGTATTTATAAATCAAGTTTTGAAAATACATTGACCAGCTCTGCTTAATCAGTTCCTCTTGCTTTTTTGAACTGAAATCTGGAGCCACGTTCCTGCAGTCAGTTTATGTGGTGTTGTCCACGTTACCAACCTGGAGTGAGTACACTGGAACTGGCTTCCGCGTGAGATACAGTAATAACATACCTTTTAAATAAAAGTACAATAATGAGCATGTATTGCTCGTATTTATAATGCGCATGTATTAATTGCAGTGAAGGTTTTCTTGGATACAGAGAGCAATTTAGTCAGCACTGGTCTTCCATTATTCAAAATCTTTATTTAACTAGGAGTGTGTGTTTGTACAGTTACTAGCGTAATGCAGATAGAATTCATTTGCAGTTTGAGAAACGTCTACCTGTAGTCCTTTGATGGCAAGTGCAATCACATAGATGTTAACACTCAATTTTGTACTATTAGAGAAAAACTCCACAAAAAATTCTTTCATCCAGAGTTTTTATTATTATCCTTAGTCCCAATGTTACCTTTAGTTTTTTCTTTTTCAGAAAAAGTTAGTTTCATTCCCATAATCCAAAGGCTGGAATATGTATAAAATCTGTGGCCAAATTATATATGTATACTGAATAGAAATGTATAGATGATTTATCTGCAAATAGAATGTAGTGATTTCAGGATGAAATTTAAACTTCTGGCAGATCGTGCTATATGGTCAGCAGAATTTTTAATAGCTGCTGTTTTGGCAGCTAAATCCTGTATCCCATGGCAGAGCGTCAAGAAAAGCCTTACCCCAAGTGGCTCAACAATTAGGACATTCCTCCTGAAAGATGGAACTGTGGTTTTGAACTCCCGTAGGGGAAGACGGGCACTGAAGCCAGATCTTTCACTCCCTGAGATGCTGCCTGACACCTCTGCGTAAGGTAGATGGTGTTGACCACCTCCTATTCTCTTCCAGATGTACTTTAAAATGAAAGATGCTGCTTTTGCACATTTTCAGGTGTGTTCAGAGCGTAGTGCAGTCTGGGGAGACTTGATGTGGTTTTGCATATTAGTTTAATTTAAACGAACTGTGGGCTGCTACCAGAAGATATGTTAGCCTTCCCTTTGCTCTTGCTATAGATTTAATGGTTATATAGAGGCAAAGTGAGCTTCATTACTTTGCTGATCCTCTTGAGAAAAAGTTTTCATTAGGTTAGTTTTAACCATACCAGTAACCTGCTCCAGCACAGCCTGCTACCACTTGCCAGTGTGTGGAGGGGGATGTGTTGCAGGGCAGAAAGGGCAGGGTGCTCCTTTCTGTGGTGAGGTGGGACTAGACCAGTAGGTTCAGAGTAAATGAAAGGTGGAGCTCCTTACCTCAGGTTGTTACCGATGCAAAAATTTCACATGCGCTCAAGGGAAGACTGAACAAGTTCTTGGAGAATAAGTCAATCAATCCATTATTAAATATCAAGAGCCACCCTCTTCCCCCAAACGCATGTTTGATTTACAAATTGTTGGAGGCTAGGAGATTATTCTTGGAGAGATACAGTATATGCTTACTCTACTTATGATGCTCTTACCTAAGCATCTTGTTGGTTTTTTTGTATGCAGTTTACATCGATCTTTAATCTAGTAAGGCATCCATATGTTCTTACTGCTCAAGTGTTAAGAGGGCACTGCGCCCGTAGACACTTACGCTTCATAGTTTTTTCCAGGGTGTGTTTAGTCAAGGTGGGATGTACTGGTCAAATAACTCACTGCTTCTGGAAAGAACAGTCCAGCCCCCCATAGCTAGCACTTCTTTCCCATTCTTGGACATACATTCTCGCTGCTTCCTTTGCACTACTTTTAGCATTAGTCTAACCCTTTGGTGAGTTGGTTCAGTTCATTAAATGCAATAAATAATGTGTTTGGGAAACTGAATCAAGTCCAAAAAGCTACATTTGTATGAACATACATTTGCTTGCTGTAACAGCACTCATAATTCCATTTGCTGTATTGACTTACGAACTGAAAGGGGAGCCTGGGAACCAAGGTCATACGCTGAACATCCTGCAGGCATCTTCCTACACAGGATGGCCATTTTGGGCAACTCAATCATAACAATAAGCGCTTAATGGACTTCAAACCTGTGCAGGGGGGTGGCAGTTGATGAGGTTTAGATACTTCAAGGGCTGGAGGCCTAAAGTTGGACCACCAGATGGGAAGAGAAAAGGGGGGAAATTTGGCTTCAGATTTTGGACTTGGTGCTTCATTCCCTTCTTGGATGTAGCCCTAATAAAACTTAAGGGTCCTAGGATATCCAAGAAAGCTTCTGTTTTCAGTTATTTGTTTTAGAGCAGTAAGATGTACGGGTAACTTCTGGGTATTAGGTTTCTTCCAGCCATCTTGGTTTGTCTTCCATCCTTCCTTTCTAAATTATTTTAGTTAATGTAAAATCATTTACCTTCCTCTGGTAGTATCACTAAACCTCATGTGTTTTCTCCTTCAAAAGTTGAAAACTTTTGATATGCCATCTTTTATTTTCACTATACCCAGTTCTTCCTTTCTGGAACCAATCAGTTAAACCTATGGAGTTTCTTTGACTAGTTCAGTCTTCCCCTAGTGTAATTTCTGCTCAGGCCTGTCCAAAGCCCACTGAAATCAAGAGGTGGCCCTTTTGTAATTTCTCAGCCCTTTGGTTGAGCCCCCCCAGTCAAAACTATTGATTCCTTTCAATTTCTTCAAATCCTTAAGAATTCACCTCTTCCATGAAACCAGACATGAACATGAGAATTGATCCAAGGAAGATTAATGTACATTAAAATAGATTTTCCTTACTTTGAAGTTTCAACTGTAATCTGTGGCTAGTAAACATATTAACTGTTCCACGTGTGACTCTCTTGGAGCAGAGACATTGTCTTCCAATTGAAGACTGTGTAAATTGAAGTCTGCAATAGTATTTATAGAGAAAGAAAGGTTTGTCATCTTTGTGGAAGCTGTTGTTTTGGGGTTGGTTTTTTTTTTTAGTAGCAATATTTATAAAAAGAACACTTATAGTAAATAAGACAATGGAAATCTGTCGCCAAGTCTAGACTTTGTAACTAACATTTGCTGAATGAAACCCATTTTTCCTCCTTACAGATGGAGAACCTTTAATAACAACATTGTTTCGTGTTGTAAATGAGCATGCTTGTATTTGGCTGCATGGTATGTCCTGCCTTGTAAATACACCAAGCCAAACATGAAACATTTTCTCCTAGGAGAAAAAAAATGCATAAAAATTTGTTGTAGCAGACAAGATTGAAAGCTTGCCATGAATGTGAAAAAGAGATTCAGAGGTGAACAGAATATTTAAAATGTCTGGAATACTGCTGTGGCAAGAGAATGTTAATCTGATGTTGTCTGGGCACGAGGCAGCCCTCGGAGCCGACACATTCCTTGGGGCCCTGCTGCAAACCCAGCTGCCAGCACAGTGTTTACAGCACGATGCGGGGCCAGTATGGTCTGTATACACAAACTGTGCCTGCCTGCCATGCAGACAGCACATGCCAGTTACGCTCTTCTAATTAAAAGCAAAGTTAGTCTTGTGTTTAACTTTGACAGTATGGAACAGGTGGATCATTCTATTATATTAGTAAGCACACCGACATATGAAATACCCATATACATTGTGACAGTGTTTATATTTATCATGCTTATTTTAACTCCAAAATGTGACTGTAATTTATAAGCAACCGAAATGTCAGCATTTAAAGCAGAAATATTTTAATGTGTTTACTCCAAAGTAAATAAGGCTGTATATATATATTTTTTTTTTTTTAAATTAAAGCACATGTGTGTGGACAGTGTCCATTGGGTTTTAATGGCCACAATTACAAATGAGTACTGTATCCATCATGAAAAGATGGTTTCATCAAAATCTTGTTTGACAGATAGTAGCTGAATTTATGGTGTTCTTGTATCATGATTTCACAGAACATAACAGCATGTTATTTGTCTTCAACTCTTTTTTTCTTTCCTTTTTTTTTTTTCCCCCCAGATAGTGGTGGTACCAAAGGGGAAAGACTGAGTGCCAAACTAAAAGCTTTGCCTGGGACAAGTGAACCCTATGAAAGCAGTGGCAGTAAAGAAATAGGCAAGTGGACATCTTATATCTTCTTACTTTCCTGGCCCTTAAAGAGAGGGAAGATGGAAAAAATAAGTTATTGGAAGAGCATGTAAAATTAGACAATTAAGAAAACATCTTCCTCATGAAATAAATATGAAGAATGGCTTTAGCTTCATTGTTCAGAGCCCACTATAAAGTAAATTAAGAAACATGGCCCATGTTAAATATTTATTACTTTTGATATCTGTCTGCTGCACCCTTTAGTCAGTTTTGTTGTTCTGCAGTCATAAGTTCTTCACTAAGACTGACTTTTCAGAGGGATTTAAAAACCCAAATCCATGTGGAACGTGGTACTTCCTAAAATGCCCTTCCTTAACCAACTCATCAGTCTTGCTGTGACATGTACTTTTCTAAAGTCTTTTTCTCACTTAACGACTGAAATAAAATAAAGAGAAATTTATTTTTTAAAAAAGAATGGAAGAGAAAAAACAAGCTTCTGTCACTAGCGCTCAGGTACTTTGCTCTTGTGCCGTGTCTCGCTGCCTGAAAGCTGTATCTTGTTCTCCTTCAGTGCTTATATGCTTTTCTGGTCTGCATTTCAAAGTCAGTGTACAGATGCGCAATGCTAAAACTCACTCTTGTGTTTGATTGTATCTGTTTGAAACAAAGCTGAAATTACTTGGAGGTGACTGTTTCAAATGTATTTATTTAAACCCTAGATGCCTCCTACATAGATCCACTTGGCCCACAAGCAGAAAGACCAAAAACTGCAGCAAGAAAAAGAACTGAGGAAGATGACTTCGCTGATGAAGAACTAGGAGAGGATTTGCTTCCAGAATAGCATATGGTCCAGTCATAATTTTTTATCCTTTTAAAAGTTTTAGCAGAAAAACTTTCATCCATGATGCTTTTGTAGTGGATTTTCATAAAATACTTGTGAAATACTTTGGATATGTGGTATCTGATATTAAAACCATGGATTTGAAGTTGCAGTGTCTCTTTTAATTGATTTTTAAAAAAGAAAGGTGAGGTTATTTTACTCATGCATAAAAAACTTCACCTTTCGATGCAACACATCAAAACAATATTATAAGGTTGGAAGTTCCATATCCTTCATCCAAAGCCAGAATTTATTTAAGGCTTGTGAATTGACTTTCTGAAAATGTTGGATATGACCGCGGTCACCTTTAAGGCCCCCATTCAGCAAAGTACTTAATACCGATACTGAAGAAAGCATCTTAATTTTGGTCTATGTTTAGCTGAATTAGGGCCATTTTGCAGTCTCTTGGCAACGTCCTAGGTGTTTTTGCAGTTACAAAGATGAGGTTTTTATTTTTTGTATTTTGAATGGTCAGAGTGGGCAGGGTTTCAGTGTAGTTTGTTCAGAATTGCTGATAAGACTTCAGCTTTTGAATCTCATGTTGAGGATTGTGGCACTGACTACACAGAGGAAGCTTTCTACAGCCTAGGTTGACCACGTGCAAAGATGTTGGTTACAGAAATCATCATTTTGCTTATGAACAAAACAAGTTTGATGTGAAGTCATTGAGACATACTAAATAGGAACGTGGGATTCCTGATTTATATCACTTCTCAGAGATAAAAATACTAGTCAGGTGTTCAGAATTTCTTTCTACAGGATGGAAAAGAGCATGAGAAGGAACTGGATGCCACCTGTCTTATTTCTGCAAGTCTTTCCCATGCTGCAGTTCTTTCTGAGCAGGATGACAGAAAGGAAAAAAAGACGACCTCATCTACTGCAGGTAGGGACAGAAAGGGAAAGAATGGATGGCTTATGTGGCTAAAGAACTTGGATACCACTCTGCAGTGGTACCACTAACAGTCTTTGGCTTTTTGATCGTTCAACTCGGCTAAGGAGACCTTCATGTATTTCAGAATGAGAAATACAGAAGTGTGTTGCCTCTTTTGTCTCTGGTGAATTCCTACTTTCGCTGCAGACTCTACCATTTTACTTTTTTCCACTCATTGACAGTAGCCCAAACATGGTGTGCACCTGTCAACACAGAGTCCAAGTACTGTCATCAGCTGGGGATATTCTGGGTCTGTTGTTGGGTCTTGCTGTCTCTTGGACTGGGCAGCCCTGACCTCTCTTCACCAAGGCTACCCCTGCAGCCCCACCACTGCCACAACAGTGTATATTTTTTAATATTTTCAGTGAAGTGTCAGTCAGAAAGACAAAGGAGGAGAGATGGACCAGCAATCGAGCTGAACAATTCTTGGAGAACGACTCTGGCAGATGACAACCTTATGGTTACATTTTGGACTCATCTTTCTCTTGCCCGCTCTTCAGTGCTTATCTACCACTCTGGTCATGAGAAGGCATATTCCTGGCTGTTACAGTACTTCTTTTCTGTCAGTCTTACAGAGTTGGACCTCCAGGAAGCAACATGCCAGGCAGGAGGGAGCATTTTCAGCTACAGACTGCAGTAGAATGAGGTATCTGACTAATCACAGTGGGAGGAAAGTATTTGGGACCACAGCAGGGAGCATAGATAAACCTGTGAAACAGTGCAAAGGAGAAGACAGGCAAGAGGGGTATGGTTTTAAACTGAAAAAGGGTAGATTTAGGTCAGATATTAGGAAGAAATTCTTTGTTCTGACGGTGCTGAGTCACTGAAACAGGATTCCCAAGGAAGTTGTGGATGACCCATCACTGGAAGCGTTCGTTCAAGACCAGGCTGGATGGGCCTTTGAGCAACCTGGTCTAGTGGGAGCTGTCCATGCCACGGCAGGGGGGTTGGAACTCAATGATCCTTAATGTCCCTTCCAACTCTAACCATTCTATGATTCTGTGAAGATACTGTCCCAGTCTTCTAACAAAACCGTTTGAGTAGAGCATCTAATCAAACATTGCAATTGCATAGACATGTTCATAATAAAGTGGCATCAATTACCAATAATTTGGGATATGATTCCCAGCTTTGTCCACAGAAACACTACTATGGATATCAGAGAGATTTTGATCAACAACAGTTTCTTGGTTCAGTTTCCCAGATGCCTAACTGTATGTTATGTAAAATTCTGTATTTTACAAACAGAACTGCACTGTTGTCTCCTATAGCGTGAGGATCTGATTATACAATGCTCTAGGTTATGATTTAGTTGCACGTTATTTTATTTTGCAAGCACAGTGGAGCTTGTTCTGAACTGACAGAAAGCCACGTGATTCAGCTCCAACACTGCAAGAGTAAGTCCTGCTGATAGTCAAAATTATTTATCTCAGGTTCATCTGCTCCAAAACCATGCTAACTATGGCTATGTCTCTATTAGAATTGCAGCGTTGCCAGGACAGGCCCAGAGTAGAGGACCTGATATGTAACCATCTGTACTATAAGACCAGTAGACCCTTGTACAGTTTTGGCTTGTGACTATTAACAATTTCCCAGACAATTCCCTTGCATCACCCACAGGTTAGCCTGGGCCAGGAACCTGTCTTCTTGAGCAGCTTCAGTGCAGCTTCTTCCTGCTTTGTGAGATGTTCTGTGTGAGGGAACGCAAGATATGACATGCCACCTGGACTCAAGGCTGAAGAGCGATCCCTGATGGGGACCAATATAACTGGAATCTATTCAGGAGAAAGAAGCCATGTGCATGTCTGAAGTGCTACATCGGCATATTGTTGGAAGGCCTCAGGCTATTGGTAGGTGAACACACCTGCATGATTCAGGCAGCTCAGGTCTTGAAGGAAGCGTGGCCATGCCAGTGGGGTGCTGTGTATACAGTAATTACCTGGGTTATAGGTGATTATTGTGCTATGTTGCTGTGATGACCCTGCCCCTGTCCTGGAGGTAGCTTGGTTGGCATTTAACTCAAGTGCAATGTGAGTTGTGTTCCCTGCTGCCATGCAGGATGCCCTCAGTCCTGTGGTAAGTCTCAGAAATGGCAGGAGTGGAAACACTGCATGAGCTAAATGCAAGTACTATGGAATAAAGCCTGTGAGGGAAGAGGGACCCAAGAAAGATGATTAATATTCAAGGATCACCTCCTCCAAGCTCAGGTGGGTTGCATCCCAATGAAGAGAAAGTCAGGGAAAAAAAGCCAGGAAGCCTGCACAGATGAACAAGGAGCTCCTGGATAAATTCAAACTCAGAAAGGAAGCCTACAGAGGGTGGAAGCAAGGACAGGTAGCTTGTGAGGAATACAGAGAAATTATCCAAGCAGCCAGGGATTGGGTTAGGAAAGCTAAAACCCAGGTAGAATTAAATCTGGCCAAGGCTGTCAAGGGCAACAAGAAAGGCTTCTATAGGTAGGGTCAAAAGGAAGACTAGCAAAAATGTGGGGCCTCTCCAGAAGGAAACAGAGGGCCTGATCACCTGGGACTTGGCAAAGGCTGAGGTACTCAACGACGTTTTTGCCTTGGTCTTCACTGGTAAGGACTCTAACCAAGTCAGAGAAGGCAAAGGCAGGGACCAGGAGAATGAGGAACTGCCCACTGTGTGAGAAGACCAGGTTTGATACCATCTGAGGAACTTGGAAGTGCACAATTCCATGAGACCTGATGAGATTCATCCATGGGTCCTGAAGGAACTGAAGTTACTAAGCCACTATCCAAGATATTTGAAAAGTTGAAAAGTCATGGCAATCTGATGAAGCTCCCACTAACTGGAGAAGGGGAAACATAACCCCAAATTCTAAAAAGGGAAAAAAGGAAGACCCAGGGAACTACAGACCAGTCTGTCAAATGGCAAAAGGGGTTTGTCTGTCCCATATTCTAACACCCTTTACCAGCACATTTCTCATATAATATGCAAACATATTATAGATGTTAGGGCAATAAGCACCCCAAATAATCTTCGCTGTGATTGAGGCATGAGATTCTTTTGTTATCCTGCATCCAGGACTTCATGATCACTTATATTTTCTAGGTTCTGTGTGCCTGTTGATGCCTCATTAATTACAAAATATTGTGAGATGGTTCCATTGGTTGTATGTACAAAAAAGCCCCCAATCTTTTATTTTTATAAACAGTGAAAATTATTAAATGAAGAGAACATTTTAATGTCTTCTGCATCTGAACTCACCTAAGTTAACTTAACTGACATTCCAGAAACAATGTTCATTCAACAGAATTTCAAATCAAAATGAACTGCAGCGCAGTTAAAAATTGTATCTGCTTCCCATGTCATTTCTTGGTTTTAAGATAATATTTTGCCTGTTACACTGAACGTACTGTTCTCTTTAGTCAACCAAAACCAAAGCCCTCTCTTCTCCAAAGGCGGTGCTCTTCATCCTGAATATGAAAGATGCACAGAGCTGCATTTAAACACATTCTGGATTTAGTGAAGCATCTGCAGTGTTTAAAGGTGTTAGCCCACTATGCAATTCATTACATAAACATTTTACAGAGGAGGTAGACTACCAAACCAGCCTGCAGGAGTCTCATCACTGTAATTGCAACTGGTTAGAGTCCTTTAAAAAATAAAAACATTGGATTTCATGTGTTGAAGCGATATACACATGGGTATCTTGCTAAGTAGGAAGTTCAGAAACTCTTACAAATATTTGCAATCTTTTCTGCTAGATATCACTGCTTAAGGTAGGATTACTCCAAAATACAATTAATTTTGCAGAATGTTGCTTTATTCATTATTCTGTCATGTAAAGTTAATAATTTTTAAAAATAAGTTTTATATTTTGATTAATTTTTAAAATTGTATGTGGAAGAATTAGTTCAAATTAGTTCTTGTATGGAAGTTGAAGAAATATGAATAAACAGAACATATTATAATACAGCAATTTAATTAAATATCTTAAATATATCATTATGAGCATGACTTTTAAGCAGATAAGAGGAAGGAATGCACTGTAACAGATAACAGCATGTAGTGTATATTATTTATGTCTTTATATGCATAGCTCCCAGTTAATGCTATTGCACACAAACTGAAGGGAAGGTAATGTCAGCATGATAATCCAAATCTCAAGTTTAATCATTTTACAGAGTAAATGTATTTATAAATCAAGT